CGGTCAGCTTAAACTGCAATACCGCCGCCCAGCAGACTTCCCCAATCTCCACCAGCCCAGATCCACTCTCCCATGCTGGGATTCGCTCCGTCCTTGGCTTTCTGGACGACTTCGACCAGACCCTTGAAAACGTTGGAGTAGGTGGAGGCCGAGCTGGTAACGCTGACGGAAGTCAGGTTCTTTCGTCCAGTAGCGTTGGTAACATTGTTCAAACTGTCCACGGTATCGATGGCGGGACCCTTGTCGAAGAAGTCAACCAGGATAAAGGTAGGCTGGCGGCCATTGTATTCCTTCTTGCATTTGGTTGCTGTGTCGCCAAGGTTTCCGGTTCCTCCAGACGCCGCATTGGTGGTAGAAATGTAGCTGACGTTGGGATACTCAATGTCCAATGTCTCTTGGTAGAGGAAATGGTTCATGAATGGGAGGCGGTTGGAAGACAAGGCGGTGGAAAGCTCGTTCTTGACGCTCGAGGGACGATCGGGCTCACAGGAGAAGTTGGAAGCGGAGGTCACGTCGTAGTTGTTCTCCCAGATGAAAGTGAACTCATCCATCAGATACGGTGCCACCGTGTTGCTGGAAGCGTCCAAAGATGCCACGAAGGTCATCAACCGGGTACCATTATTGATCAGTTCCTGCAATGTTGGCCACGAGCTCGGTGCGGAGGTTTGGGAGGTTGGAGTGTAGGTGTAGTTGGTGAGATTGGCCGTTTCGAATTGTGAATGCAGATCAGAAGCTGTTGCATCGTCTGAGTTGACCAGCAAAACAGTCACAACTGGTAATTCACGGAAGATGTCAGTTCTTAGCTCTTTTGGGAGTAATTGTAAAACGCCACCAACGTACCGTCATTGGGGTTGGAGTCCAACCAGCCTTTGATATCTGACAGCCATGTACTCAACAATCCTGCATCCAGATAATCGCAACTAGAGTGGCAGAGACGCCACTGTGAATTCGACTTATGGACTTGAGCTGTGACAAGACGGACACCAGCGTCAAGCTGGAGTGTAGTGTTGTAGTATCTGTGAAGTGGTCAACAAACTGCATTGACGTTCTGCCTTCCCAATTGAACTCACTGGTCTCCAAAAGTAGAGTAATCCGTCGAGGCATCCCGTAGAAACGGACTGTCGTGTGCGCCCAGGTGTGTGATTTCTCCGTATGACTTGGAACACAAGTCTGGGGAGTTGTTGCATGCAGTGGATCGCGGCCGTACAGCCTTCGCCGCTGCGAAGGGCAGGAGCGCTAGAACTCCTAGTCCTAGCATACTGATTGCGCGTTCTGTTTGGTTGGAAAAGGGTATCGATCGTTCAGATGCTATATAAGCCGGAAGGACTCATGCAAGAAGAAAATTGGCTGCGAAGTCCAAGCAACAAGTAATACAACAAAATGCGCGAATATCAAGAAAAAGGGGAAATTATCAGTCTACTCGATTCAAGGGTTTAATTAATTGATGCGCCTGATGAGTGAGAATTATTGTTTCAGCGAGGAAAAAGGAGGGGGGAGAGAGAGAGGAAGAAGAATCAGACACAGTAAGAATCCAACATTCGGGCCATAAAGGATGTGTAAAAGGATGCGGATGATGCAGACAAGCAGGCAGAGCAATAATCAATAAACCCCACTGGTGAAAGCACTGAGTGAATTGTGCAGAGAGTGTGGACTACCAAGACGCACTACATGACCTCCCAAAGCCTGAACCACGGCAACAACCGCGCCATTTGGCTTGGGATCACCCTTACGGGTCATGAGAAAGTTTCGAGGGCAGTGTTGATCTGCCAGTAACGGTGGGCCAGTATGAACAAGGCTCTGGGAGATGGAGTCTGGCCGCGTTGCCTGCCAACCTATTCTTAGGAACAAGGGTCGGTCATGGCTGCTCCTGTTTCGCATTTGGCTGATTTCGCTGACGGGGCCACGCCATTGCCCGTGGCGAAGCCCGCCCGTGTTTGTCTCGTTTGTTGTGTGGCCGCGTTGCCCCGGGTTTCTTCACGTGAGCGGTGTGTCTTGTCTTGGGCTGGGCTAGTATTACATTTTATTTATCTTATGTGATGCTATATAATATATTGTACATATATAATGAATTCACCGGCTACTCACAAAGGCTGCCCCTCGTAGGCTCTTCTCCCGCAAGAAGGTTCGACGTGTTCGACGTTGAGACATCTTCGAGCTGGGTGGGTTCACCAGCCGATACACATCCCTGGGTGCACAACCCTGGAGCAGGAGGGGCTGTCCCCACGCACGGTCAATATCTCCCAGGACTCGCTCCACACTATATGGGTTTTCCCGTCGCAACATGCGACTCATGTGACGACTGGAGCGGCGAGGTCGTCCGTATAGAACAGCAAGTCGGTGCCGGCAGGCTCGTCTGATCCATCTCGTCCAAAGCTGCACACCGTTCTGTCCAAGCTCCCGAAGGAGAACAAGTCCGCGCACCCAAGGGACGAAGTTTCCACCCTCCGTGTGGAAAGGATTATAGTCGTCTCGTTTGGAGGAAACTCGCATCCGGAACCCCCAATAGACGAGAGCGGCTTGCGTCTGTTTGCTGAAGACCGCCCCGAGAATGGTATTGCCGTGCTCGTCAGGTGAGGTAGTATGGGACGATTGCTGTACAGTCGATAGCGAGATAATCTGGAGAGGAGCGTGGTCTTGTTTGGGGGTAGAAGAATAATGACGGGCCAGCCAGAGACAACATGTTCGAAGCTCATCCCAACAATTCATCATGCCAAATCGCTTAATCATCTCGACCCAAAGGTCAGGGGACACAGAAGCACCCACAGGAACGATGCGTCGTAAGACTCGGAAGAGGAAGGTTACTTCTACGACTTCGGAACGGCGCTGACCCTTGATCGGGCTGACACCGGGCCTCCGAGGCGTCAGAACCTTTTCAACCATGAAGTCAATGCTCTCTTTGGTGAGGGTTTGACTGCGCAGTGCCATTTCATCAACCAGCTTGGAGGCCAGAGTCCACTCGCCAGCGGCAAGGTGTTTCCTAAAATGGATGTTGAACAAAGCCGGCCCTTCGTTGGATAGTTCACTCAAAACTGCAAGGGTCATATGATAATGACGCCAATCCTGACTCATATAGTAAGATAGAAGTAGAGACTCCTGTATGCGCGCATCCTCAAGGACATCGGGATGCTCGTCGCTGTGGAGCAAGTCCGATAAGAGTATGTCGCGGTTCTCCGTGGCAAGCTTGCGAAGAAGACGCACAAAGACAGAGTTCCCCAGCGAAATGCCTGCTCGTTCAAGCTTCCGGAGCTTGCTCAGTATATCTTGACTTCCCCGAGCCCTGAGCGCCATCTCCCGCAGAGATTGCGGTCCAAGAGCTGGCACGCCGAACATTTTTAAACCAGAAAGGATTGTGTCGAAGTTAAGAGCCTCCGTTGCAAAGATTCGGGCGCCAAACTCGTCCTTTATTGGCCTCTCTTCATGCGCAACCTTTCCTTGAGTCTCCGCAGCGATTTTATCAAGATCATCGGTTTCGTTTATCATTTCAGGGAATCGTTGGGAGGCATAGCTATGGAGCTCTTGGTAGGATGCCCATGGCCCATACTGTTTGGCGCTCTCTAGTAATGGCTCGAATTCGTCGAACGAATGCGGATGGTCATTCTCTTGGATGAGGAGTCTGTGCATTGAAAGCGCATCGCCAAGACGACCACAGCGTAATAGAGTAGACATGATGGGAGCATAGATCTGGTGGCCTGGAGTCATGCGGCAGATGCTGCGAAAAGCCCATAAGCTTGAAGAGGCAGCCCGCCCCCCTGGCTTTATCGCTCCAGTGACTCTGTTCTGCTGTCGAGAAAGAGCGATCGGCCGGAAGACATGCAGGATATCGTTCGGGTGTGTCAAATGAGGATGATGAAGGCGTTTGTGCCATTCAACAGCCTGCTGTGTCATGCCACGGTCAATAAAGCCACCAACGACAGCCTCATAAAAACCCTCCCAACGTTTCCCCGTTGTATTCCATAGCGCCAGCGCATAATTAGCGATTTCATTCAGAATGACACCGTGCCGTATGCCAGCTTCCACGAAGCTTTGCCAAAAGAAATCAGCGACTTCTCCTTCAACGGGCAAGTGCACACCGTCAACTCGGCTCGTCAAGCCCTCCCATATATCCAACGTGCCTTTATCACCATAATGTCGCTGCCGGTAACGCAGTAGCTCCTCCCAGAGTGCAAAATCGTTCCGATGCACCGGGTCGTCTACTAAGCGAGTTCCAATGTCATCCGTATGTCCTATGTCCGATTCGAAATCCAATCTCTCCGGTTGTAACGCGAGGCTGCGAGGGTTTCTGGCATAAAAACTTTGAGCCGAGTCGCAAGAGCCTCCAGCTTTATCTGCGGCCTGTTTGTGTGGCGTATTAATTTCGTAGATGCGGAAGCTGAGTGCTCGTTTCGTTGATGGGAAAGAAGAATCGTTCGCAGGCGTTTGTTGCAACTCCGCAGCTGGCGCGCTTCTTGCTTGCTTATGAGTCTTGGATAAGCATCGAACACATTTAGCTGTGCGTCGAACGTCCAATTGTTCAACTCCAATTGGCATCGATATCAGGGAGTCGAGAACCGAGAGAGCTGACGGCCTCTTCAGTAGTCGAAGAAGAGCCGGGCGCATGAGGTTTGAGAAAAGGAGAGCGAAAGGAAGGCGGCAGTAAGTCTGACCATCCTCATAAATCGCACTCTATCACAAAGTGTGTTAGTGGCACATGTGAACACAGGTAAATGGCGGCTTTCTTCTGCTCTGCACACCTTTGATTCCGCGGACTACTTCTTTTCTGGGCAGGCCGGGCTTCCACCAGAACACGCCATACTCGCTACGGTTAGGAGCTTGCATATTCACGTGATAATTATTAAGCCTCGCATCCTAAAGGCGGAAGTGGGAGGGTAGTCACGTGATATTCAAGGACCGTTCGGGTCCACACTTCACGACATCGACTGATCATTGTTGCTGCTAGCCTCTCATCTGCCATTGTCCCTCCTCCTACCTCCATAACCCCCATTGTCGCTTTTGCGCACCGCCAAAATGTTCCGCACCGCTCCTCGTCTGGCTGGGTATGTTCGCTGATTTCATTTCGTCAATTGTACCCCCCGCATGGCTTCCTGAGCGCGGCCGGGCTGACGGCTTGTCGGTCGGGACTGTTTGCTGCTCAATTGCCTGAATATGTCGTGCAATTGGGACTCGGAAGCGAGACTCTACACCGGAAACAACCTGCTAATATATCTTGCTTTCCATAGGTTCGTGTTCCGTGAGAACCGTGTCCCTTACTACCAGCGCCTTTTCCAGCAGCACGACGGCAAGCGCCAGTGGTGGAAGGTCCGTTGATCCGCGAATAATTTCTAGCTCGCAAAAGAAACGAAGAAACCTAACAATACGGGATCTCTACAGACTGAGCGCAGTGGTTACCTCATGTGGCCCTACCTCATCTCCGTCTACGGCATGGGCATCGGTAGGCTCTTCAAATGCACCATGACAATGGATCACGGCTAATGTATTCTTTCTTAGCTACTACCTACGCTATGGGTCGTATGGTCTTTGTAAGTTGTACCTCGAAATACCGTGTTTCAATGGGGGTCCGTGGATTGACAGATTTACTAATGCTCATCATAGGGCCACAAGACCTGGTTCGGCAAGGCGTAAATGCGGTCCTCGCCAACTTTGACACAGTGTACCTCTATTTCTCTGATAGGCAGCTAGAAAGAAAGATAACTGACGTTGTATATAACTTTCTCCAAAGCGTCAAAGCATTAATACCTGCCTTATGTTCTCTCGTATATCCCCGAGTACCCTGTGTCCCAACCATAGTCCGCTTGTTTTGGGTGGATAGAGAAGCATTGACCAATGATCCGAGGAGAGGCAAGATTGAGGGAGCCTAAACCTGTACACTCTGGCTGCGTCTAAATATACATGTCACAGCATATAAAGGTTGCAGAGCCTAGTAAACTCTTTTAGAATCACTACAATGGCACGATGCGACGCTGCTGGACTTCCTCGGTTCAGCTGGTATGTCCTGCTCCAGAGTCACAAATATTGTACATCATTCGGCTGCACTGGCCGCTTTCCCTCGTAAGATTGTCGAATGGGCTACCATCGCGCAGAATTATTGTATGTAGTTACCTGATCGAGGTGAAGCTTGTCCGTAGATTAGTCATCCATACTTTCATGGCGCTTTATCCAGATTGGGAAACAAGATACGGCCAAATAGTTGACAATCAGCGGAAGACCATCCAACGTTTGGCTGATAGTTCAACATCCCAGCGTCCAAAATGTTCAAGCCATAGTACATGTTCCCTGCTCTGCGATCTGGATGTCAAGGCTTAGATAGCCTTACAATGAAGATAACAGTCTATGGTAACTGCCACCTGTCAATGAGAATACTTAAGAAGTGGGGATATTGTACCTCACAGGAGCGTATAAGCGCTCCTGCGTACGGCAACACAAGGCTTCCACTAGCAGGTGTAACTGACAAAAAAAGTCTCAGTATTCCATGATCTATATACATTGCACATTTACGCGAATATAAGGGTGTGACATGGCGTCCACATCTGCTGAGCGGCCGGCTAAGCGAGTGCGACAAGCTTGTGAACCATGCAGGTGAGACGGAACATTAGTCCGATCTTGCACTATATGACGCACTCACTGACTCTTCGCAGACGCAAGAAGGCAAAATGTCCTGGGGAGCAGCCAGTCTGCTCCTTGTGCGCCCGGTTAAACCAGCAATGCGCCTATGCTGGAGAACATAGGAGATCTTCGACAGCTGGGCTTGCCATCCCACGGGAGGGGGCTTCTGTGCCTCCCGGCTCAGAGAACAGGATCTCGGAGATCTTGGTAAGCCAATATATATGACAGCTATATTGCTGATTTTGATAAATTCCTACAGGAGGAACGACTGGGAAGCCTTGAGGCTAGAATGGGGCAAGTTCTCGATGCCCTGGGGTAATACATAGCTTCCCTCATGCGTTGTCATCCGTGCTCTAACTTTATCAATCTAGGCAGAACAGCCCCAGACAAGAGCCACGGGAAGCTGCTCCTCGCACTGCTGTAATGAGCAACGCTGTGGCATCCCTTTTAAGCCCAAATATCCCCTTCCCCACTTGGGAAAAGGTGCTCGCAATGGCAGAGCTTTATCTGATATATTGCCACTCGCAACCCCTTCCACTCTTTCAGAAGGAAGGCTTCCTCGATAGCCTGAGGAGCCGTGACCCAGAGATAGTATATGCGATGTTGGCGCTGAGCATTCGGTTCTCTCAGGACGAGAGTTCGCAGACTGGCGGGTTCACGTCACTTGTTAATGGCTATACGGAAGTAGCCAGGGGCTTGGTTATGAGGAGAGTATCGGAAGGGCCAATAGAGCTCTCAACTCTTCAGAGCCTATGCCTCTTGAGCTTGGTGGATTTTGCCAGTAATACAACCACTGACGTATCAGAATGATAGCCTTGCTGACTTGATCACTTTTAGATGGAAACACACACCGTTCGAGCATCCATTGCAGTTTGGCAATGAACTTGGCACAATGTGCCAACCTTGGCCTAGAGTCTGGCTTAGTACAACCCCCAGCCGCACGTGAAGAGCGCAGGCGCTGCTTCTGGAGTATTTGTCTCTTGAAGCGTCTTCACGGAGTTGATTTCGACAATCTAGATTTTCCCGATGGCTGCTTTCCCCAGTTCCCAGAAAGTCCTAGCCGGCCGCCTCCAACGATCTCATCAAGCAATGGGGCGAATGAAACACGGTCATCAGGCATGCAGGATCAGGGTATTTTAGCATACGTGATCATGCTCAGTGAAATATTTGCAAAAACTGCAAAATATGTCAGACGCCATGGGAAGCCTAGCAACGTACCCCCGTGGTCTTCACAATCAGAGTATTCGAAAATATTGACTGCTCTTATGGAACGGGAAACGCAGATGCCATACAGCCACAGGTTCAAGCCAGCGAACTTGAGTGAAAGAACACTTGAGGATCTACAAGAAAGGAGAGATTACTGGGGCCCATGGTTGTTGAATCAGTTCCTATATCATACGATTCTGTGTCTTTTGAATCACCCGCTATTGCTCTCTCTCAGCCTCAGAAATTTCCGGAGTACGATTCCCGAGATATTCTTGCAGCACAGCTCGGACTTGATTTCGTCGCACACGACATGGATAATCCATTTTATCGACTACTTCGAAGAAAGATCTTTCGTTGTCTCGGATCCTTTCTTGGGCTATAGTGCTGCTGTGGTAGCAACCATTGAATTGCAGCTTAGCTTCACGGAGAACACTACCATTCGCGAAGAGAAACGCAACAGGTTTTACAAATGTGTTAGTTTCGTGCAGAATCTAGGACGCAAGTGGCCACATATGGCACGTTTGGTAAGGGAATATCTTCCCATACTCACTTTTATCTGCTGACTTTCAGACAGGCGGACAGATTGCAGAGCTTGGAAGATGCTGTCTCAGCATCCTATGAACTTGAGTCTGGTGCTCAGAATAAGTACTTACTCATAGACCTCTCGCGCTTCTGGGAGATCCTCGAGTATTCTTCCAATAGTGACGCAGAGTCAGCCTGTCGCATGTTTGGGGACTCACTCTATTCTGAAGCTCCCACACCTGGAGCCGAAGTGTCGCAGACGTCTCCTTTACCGGAGCCTTTTCGTTTGCATACACAACAATCTCTACCACAGTCGCCAACATCTCAATTCAACATTCAGACCCCCATCATCACGGCCGATGCACAGTATCCCATGGGTGTCGACTCGCCTACTTACGATGAATACTCAATATTAGCCACAAACTTCTTTTCGCAAGCCCAGGACTTTCTGCGAAGCGGTGATCCGAGGAACGGATTCGGAAACTTATGACTTCGACAGTATGAATCTCTCAGAGAGACCCTACATTGATTATTTGCTTTTGCACAATGACTGTGGGCCGTTTCTCAAAGGGATCTTCAAGCTCACACGCTAAGAATAAAATATTTTGGTATCTATTTCTAAAATTATCCATCAAAGAGCGCACTATCGAAATCGGTCTCAGTCCTGCACAAGCGATCTAGTGAACCCCCGTCACTGTTGTAGTGCACCCTTGAAGATATTTACAAATGTCCAAACCTCGCTGAAGCTGTTGTACAAAGGAACCGGAGCAACACGCACGACACCCGGCTCCCGCTTATCGCAGACTATTCCTGCTTCCTGCAACTTCTGCGCAACATTCTGCAACAGGCCAGGCTTGAGTAGCAAACTCAGTTGTGCGCCTCTCGCATCGGGGTCTGTGGGCGTGATAATGCTGAACGGCCTGGATTCCTCTTCAGTATCCTTGAGCAAAAGGAACTCAAGGTATGCTGTTAGCATCTTTGATTTCTTGCGAAGATCTGCCATCGATGTTTCATCAAACACTGATAGGGCGGCACAAAGACACGCTAGGTCGATGGCCGAAGGATTCGATATCTGAAACCCTCCAGCGCCAGGAATGGGCTTGAACTCTGGATATCAATCGAATCAGCTTACTAGCCCACGGAGTTGTATATATAAAAGTGCACACATACTGTTATCCATCTTAAATCTGACCGATCGATCACCACCATACCATCCGGTTAGACGGTGACGGAACTTGGGTGCATCTTCTCCCGCGCTGTAATCGACTTCTCCGTGTTGTTCATGCACGAAAAGGCCCCCCATTGCCCCAGGACCAGCATTTCCGTACTTATACGTGCACCATGCTGCAAAATCAACGTTCCAATCATGCAGGTTTAGCTCAACATTAGCGAAGGCATGGGCCAGATCCCAGCCAACAACCATGTTGCGTGAATGGGCATATTTAGTAATTTTCTGAATGTCAAACAGTTGTCCAGTATAATATTGGATACCAGGAAGGAGAATCATAGCAGCCTCATCAGCATGCTTGTCGATATAAGAGAGAATCTTCTGGGTGGAAATCTCGTATTCGCCCTCGTCTGGGCCGATGAGCACCATAGACTCCTTGGGATCCAGGTCATGCCAGGCAATATGAGATTCGATAGCATACTATACTGAAGTCAGTGCCGTGGTAGCAGAAGACAGCCTCTTTCGAACATACGTGATCACTTGGGAAAGCCTTCCAGTCCATCAAGATCTTGTGCTTGGTTTGCGTCGGCTTGTAGAAACTAGCCAGCAGAAGATGAAGGTTCGTTGTAAGTGTCCCCATCGCTGCGACTTCTTCTGGCTTTGCTCCCACAATCTTGCTCATTGATTCAGCTGCTTGCTCTGAGAGCAGCTGCCATTGCTTCAAGGGTGAGCCCTCAAGATCAGTGAAGTGGCCACCAACTCCGATAGATGACCAAGTGTCCAACTGTGCTTCTAAGTACCTTGCTGTGGCCTTGGGTTGAATGCCAAGTGAATTACCGCAGAAGTAAATGCATGACTCGGGCGAAAGGCCTGTGACAATCAGTGACGAGATCTACAGCTGTCAGAATTGTACTAACCAGGCTTTGCTAACTTTTTGGAAGCAATGTTTGCTTTCGATGGAACGATGAACTTCTCCCGGAACGCAGCAAGGCTATCAGAAGAGTCTAGAGATGCGGCATATTCCTTTGTCGCTGCTTCGGCGGGGAATGCCAGGCTGACGCCATTCGACTTCGACATTGTGGATTTGGATGGTAATTGAAGAGAAAGATAACGAGAAGGAATGGATGAACACCAGAAACCAGCCGCTGACAGTCACCAATTAACATTTATATAATGGACTGGCGTGTGACACAAGGCACTTCCGTTTGTCCCTCCCACCGGATCCGGATACCGTTCCGCTTCCGCCTCACCATCCGTGTTGTCGGAAGAGCGAAAACACAGCATCCACTTTAGAAACCCGGGTGGTTGCTAAGTTTCCGCTAACCTACTGCCTTTCTGCTCTGAATTGGTCGTTGTGGAACGGAGAATAACCTGTCTTTGCTCATTCAGATGGTTCTTCCTGGATCCTTGTGGATCCGGCTTTCTTCCGTCCATCCTTGGGAATACGATATAAACACCTGAATCTCCTCTTACCTGCATAAGGAACTATTCTACAAAGTCTTGTATATCAAGCTATATACTGAAGTGCACATATTATCATGCTTTACACACCAGACATTTCCCTTGTTGAGTACGGTGTCTCCCTCCAGAACGGGTTCCTCCCGGAAGTTCCTCCCGTACGAAGATTGGGAGACCCCTACTATTCTCCGTGGGAGGACATCGCACAAGACTTGCCTGAGCTCATCCAAACTGGTACAATCAGAAGGTCTGTGGATGACCTGGATATACTCTCTACGAAGAAGTTGCGGGGAGAACCTGAGTGGCGGAGAGCATATGTTGTGCTTGCTTACCTTACACACGCCTACATCTGGGGTGGTGACAAGCCGAAAGATGTATTACTCCCCTTATCCCAACACTACCTGTCTCGTATATCACTACATATCTCGTGCCTTTACTGACACCAACGATACAGGTGCTACCCCCCTGCATCTCACGCCCATTCATCGAAGTATCGAACCACTTGGAGCTACCACCATGTGCCACTTATGCTGCCCTCAATCTTTGGAACTTCTCGGTACCATCCGCTGATACAGACGTTACGGATCCGGACAATCTATCAGTGGTGACCTCGTTTACTGGCACCAAGGACGAAGAATGGTTTTTTGTTCTCTCCGTCGCTATCGAGGCCAAGGGAGCACAACTCATCGAGCTAATGCTGGATGCTATGCATGGAGCAAATGTCGATGATAGCAAGCGTGTTGTCTCTCGTCTTGAGCAACTGAACTATGGTCTGAAGGAACTTGGTGACCTCTTGGAGCGCATGTATGAAAATTGTGCGCCGCCCGTCTTTTACCATCAACTACGCCCATACCTGGCCGGTAGTAAGAACATGGCATCGGCTGGGTTACCAAATGGTGTATTCTACGATATCGGGGAAGGCCGAGGCGAGTGGCACCAGTACAGTGGTGGTAGCAATGCTCAGAGTTCGTTGATCCAAGCCTTCGACATTTTCTTGGGCGTGGAGCATTCAGCCACCGGAGAGACCAAGTCTCACGGCAAGCCGAATCCTCAAGTCATGACTGGCTTTATGCAGGTAAGAGTTGATCTCCAAGGAGGCATCCAGACCAAGCAATGTCGATATTGATTGTATATTTCTAGACCATGCGAAACTATATGCCAGGCCCTCACCGACGCTTCTTGGAAATGATGCTCCGCACGTCCAATGTGAGATCCTATGTCTTGAGCCACAAGCCCGGATCTGCTTTGAGGGATGCATACAACATGGCAGTTATGTCACTTGGGGGATTCCGCGATAAGCATGTGCGGATGGTTACTCGATACATCATCATGGCTGCAAGGAGTCCGCCGCCAAACCAAGTATCTTCGAGGACAAACCTGGCCACGACAACGTCGACAATAGTGGACAATTCTCATGAGAAACTCAACGCCGGCGTCAGAGGAACGGGCGGGACAGATTTGATACCGTTTCTCAAACAGACCAGAGACACGACGAAGGCTGCAGCCAGCTACACCGACTAAAACCGCAGCGATGCAATTGAACTGTTTGGCGATGCGACTCTTGATACCATATAAGCGAATCGTTTCATGAAATTCATAACCCTTTACAACTACCGAGTCATGATTGATTACTAGAGGCTTTTCTTATTGCACAATTACTTCATAGGACATGTTCAGGACAGGCAGTCTGCGGGGACGGGAGCGGAGGCGGATACGGATGGCGGGAAAGCTGGACTTTCGATGATATCCGAGGGCAGCCGCAGGAACTGAGTCTTATCGCGTGTCATCTATCTGCCTCCACTTACATCATGATAGAAGCACACTTGAATCATTTCTTCCGTGTTTATCGGGACCCGTAGTGGTTGGAGACCTATGAATGTAGTGATAAGTAGCAGAAAACCGTTATTCACGATCACCAAATGCATCTCCTCTATTGCGGATATTGGCCATGCGGCCATTGTTCCCACCTTATCGGCAAGCAGGACCACTGTTGCACAAAAGCAAACAGAGCTGTAAGAAAGGGCCAACCAGGCCAACCGATCTTCCAGCTCTCCTTGACACTGATACCCACTGGTCTCCTTCGAGAATGGCGCTAGAACCTCCACTGTAGTCGTCCACAAGAGGACACTGTCGTATCAGTAACTCCCACATGCAGCACCTACAATACGTAACGAGCTTCTCACATCCCAACACAACGAGTGAGCATGTCAATTATGCCCGACATCCGCTAATACTGCCCAATTGAAAGTCCCCGAAGAACGAAGTTATCATTTCTCTATGCTAAGTGGAAAAAGACAACTCAACCCCGATTCGGCGACCAACAAAGCCCTACCGTAGTATATCGAAACCATGATACACCTCTCAAATCAAAGCACCAACCAACCCTCTCCCAATATATCAGATGAACGAGACATCTGACCAAGAACCTCCGAACCTCCCCTTTGCTCTCCTGCTAGTAACCCAACTAGGAACCTATGCGGTCATTGTTCTCGTGACCGTCCTTCTCTCCCACAGCACCGACTTGTCCTTTCCCACGGGAAACCCCTTGCCCTCCCGTATCAAGTAACTTGCTACCAGATAGAACACCGCCAGCCAACCTATCAGCCCATCCAATCAACACCTAGTAACAACAAAAGTTCAACCGGGCAAAATCCCCGACCTGTAATCTGTTATCCAATATCCAAGTCTCACATTCCGACCAGGCAGGTCTCAACCAAGACAAAATCAAGGGGGGTGCCGCGAAAAAAGGTATCGGCGATTGAAGCTTATCCGTTCGGCGACCGGCTTATCACACCATCAACGCCATTATGGCGATGCACACCGCAATTCTCGGCCAGTGAGGTATGTTGTCGCAGATCTGAGGAATTCAAGTACTCCTGAGTGCCCAGAAAGGTGTGGTTTAGGGCGGTGATACGTATGTCTGGTGGTCATGGCGTTCAATGGGCTTGTGGTTGCTTTTTTATACATAGTAAGAATAGTTGCTGTTCTTGTTTTGGTTCAGTGGCGGATAAGATAAGGAGATGGATATGTTTCCACCTCTGACTCAGGCCAGGAACCCGGGGACCATGAAAAGCCTTCAGGTCGGCGAGGTAGGGGATCGGGGATCGGGATTGAGATGGCAATTGTATAGAGTCATAGTATTAGCATCTCGCCCGAGAAGAGGAATGAATATATGTAAGAGGTTTCTACGTATAAAAAGAGAAAACATTCTAGAAACGAAAGCGACATGAGCATCGGGTCATTTGTATGAAGTCAAAGAAACTACATGAACGAAGTATACTATACGTCACTATCGCAACATATACGCAACGAACAGAAGAGGCACCAGCAATATCACACGATGGAACCAATCATCCATCCCATATTCGAGAAACAAACCTCAACATGGCAATACATCGTAGCCTGTCCCGAGACACACGAAGCCGTGATCATCGACCCAGTCCTCGACTTCGATCCATCTCAACTCACCGTGACTACAACCTCAGCCGACGAACTCCTTGATCTTGCAGCCTCAAAGGGCTATCACATCACTCGAATCCTCGAGACACACGCCCACGCCGACCATCTCACCGCAGCTCACTACATCCAGACCAAGCTCCATCATCAACAGCGCTTATCATCCTCCTCCTCCTCATCATCAACAGAATCAAGCCCCAAAGTCCCCATCTGCACCGGCCACCGCATCCGCCAAGTCCAAGCCACATTCGCACAACGATACAACATCCCGCCCAACGACCTCTCCACCGCATTCGACCACCTCTTCCAAGATGACGAGACCTTCCAGATCGGACGCATCACCGCCCAAGTCCTCCATCTGCCCGGCCACACGCCCGATCACAGTGGGTACATGATAGGCAGCAATGTATTCACAGGAGACTCGATCTTCAACCCGGACGTGGGCAGTGCGCGGTGTGATTTCCCGCATGGAGATGCCCGCGCCTTGTATCAGACTATGCGGAAGCTGTTGGCGCTACCGGAGCATGTTAAGCTGTATACGGGGCATGATTATCCGCCTGCGGTTGAGGGGAATTCTACGACTAATCGGGCGCCTAAGGCCTTTGTGACAGTCAAGGATCAGAAAGAGGGGAATAAGCATGTGAAGGAGGGGACTGTGGAAGAGGAATTTGTGAAATGGAGACAGGAGAGGGATTCTGCGTTGGGTGAACCTCGTCTCTTGCATCCTTCGTTGCAAGTTAATGTTCGGGGTGGGAGATTGCCATGGGGTGATACGGGGAATCGGCGGAGGGCTTTTCTTTGGATGCCTGTGAAAGTACCCGAGGTTATGGAGAGTAGTGGTGGTAGGAGAGGTGTGTCTACGATGTCTATGTCGTCGGCTAGTATCGGTGGTAGTGGTTTGCGGGCTATTCTGAGGTCTGTTGATAGGTTGAAGATGGTTATGCGCAGGTTTGTATAGATTAGTTATGTATAGTATGATGGTATTAATTAGATCAATTTGGGCATTCTTTGTGACAGAAGGATCAAAACCTCCACGTAATGATATGCGCGGTCAAGTGGCCTAGAACTTGGTTATCGTCGTCATGAGCCTTTTCAGGAGATCCTGAGCTGGACATTTGTCTGTCGCACGCGGTGTGTAGATCGGATTCCGGGGGTTGTTCAAGGGGTTACTGAATGCCTCTGATGAGGGCTTTTCATTGGTTGATGGTTATTCGCGGGGCGTTCATTGGATGATTCGCAATCGCCGATAGGTGTCTCCCCGGTCGCCGATTGAACTTGTCGGCCATCCAGAAGCTCTGTGTGTGTTGAACAAAGTACGGAGCTGGGACTTTATCTAAAGCTACCAATATTACAGCTCAATTCAGATATAAAGGAACAACGGGAAGGCCATATTTCACTTCCAATAGGTACCAAACTTTTAACAATCAGCTTATACATCTTGGTGACAACAATGGCTTCTACAATGCTTGCATCTTTCCCTGGCACTGCTGCCAGCTACACTACCTCCCATCTGAACAAGGACTCGGCTCCGTTATTGGTCGAAGAGGACAACTATACATTTGAGCAGCTTGTTCAAGACCTGAGAAGCTACCTGGGTAGCTCTCGAGGCCTTGATGGAGAAAATGTTGACCACAACGTTCTGATTGCCTTCATGTCCAAATACGCCTCCAACCCTAAAGACTGGTCACGGTTCGCCCGCAACGACGTGAGCAAGAATTATACTCGCAACTTGGTGGAGGATATCAATGGCCGTGCCAACCTGGTCAGTCCCAAAATTGGAGGTTGTTATGGTCCCTGACGACTAACATGTTGACAGTTGGTGTTGGTCTGGAACCCGCAAAAAGGCTCGCCCATCCATGATCACGCAGATGCGCACTGCATCATGAAGATTCTAGGGGGAGAACTGAACGAAGTGATATACGACACGCCAGACCCCGAACGGGGCCATGATGCGCCTTTGATGGTCAAGCAAGAGACCACGTACAAAACCGACGAAGTTGCGTATATCTGTGACCAGATCGGATTGCATAGGGTCATGAACCCACAGAAAGATCAAGTTGCTGTTTCTTTGCACTGTAAGTTGGCTCACAGCCCGTTAAAACCCATGGTTGTCTGACGCTTTTTCAGTGTATACGCCGCCCAATGCCGCGGACTTCGGCTACAACATCTATGATCGCGACACTGGACGGAGCAGCCATGTCTATCAGGCATCTTAGGGGGTGAGAGGAGGATTTGGACAAGGACAGACGAGTGCAGGACACTCGCTATGATTCATGACTAGCGTTGATTTATATGTATGCATCTAAACTGGGTTTTGGAGGACCTGGAATTTGGGATTCCAGAGACTGTTGCTATTGGCATCTTTGTATTACAGCGACCTGGATCAGTTTGAGGCAAATAAGCCATGCATAGTAATACCCAGTTCAATGTCTTTCTAGAAGGACTGCCATTCTTCGAGGGAACTGATGCAGATTGGATAGTAATGATCTTGTTCCATAGAAGGTAGTCTGAATTTGCATTTCAGATGCGCTCACCTAAGAATAAAGTTTCTTTAAGTGATAAAGTAAAATTAATGGACTTCGTAAAGAAATCAAGTGGCGACAGTTACATGCTTCTCTATTCCAATTGTGTATGGAAATAGCTTAGTCATGTGAGCTTATGAGTCTGCATTTACCCGAGTAGGCATGGACCATGAAGTGTGCATCTCCATGACTGTATCTGCTTCGACGCCAGCTGGATTCTTCTGTTTCCTCACCCCCGGAACAGTCGTTTGTTCGTATTCATAATATGCTACTACTACTTATTCTCTTTGGACATATGTCAGCATGATTGAGAGCTTCCAGCCAGAATACTGAACATGACTCGTCCGTCACCGCTGGCCTGTACGGAATGTCGCAAGCAGCATCTGAAATGCGACGCCCAAACCCCCACCTGCTCTCGCTGCTTACAGAACCGACTAAAGTGTAATTATCTTCCTTCTAGACGTGGAGGGAGACGGAAAACCCGGGAAGCACTACGGCAGCATCACGATGCATCTTCCGCGGACTTGCTCTTGTCACCTCACCCTACCGATATGAGTGGGCGTGATGCTTCTTCGACTGTTTCTGGTCAGCAGAACCAGCGCATCAGCCCAGTCGTGGAAGGCCAAGCTCAAGATGCTGCAGATTCGGATGCTCGGCTAGTCCGCCTGTATTATGAAAACTTTCACTCAGCGCATCCAATCCTGGTTCCCGCGCCCTTGTATGAAGAACGCAAGTACCCAGCGTACTTGCATGAAGTAGTCACACTCATAGGTGGCCATTTCTTATCTACTGGCTCCCTTCCTGATATGGCCAATGTGCAACTGAGTGCTGATGGAGAAAGGACGCCAAGCAAGGTTCAGGCACTTTTGCTTTTTTCGATACTTTCATGCGCTCGCGGCGAGTGCTCGCAAGCTCACACATCCTTTTCGCAAGCTGTCGACATTGCGTTGGAACTTGGAATGTACCGACAAGAGTTTGCGTCAACGTCTTCCAATGTCGTGGAAGCTGAGAGCTTGCGCCGGACTTGGTGGGAGCTTTTTATCGTCGATGTCTACATGGCAGCTTTGCAGAAGAGAGTGGTCTTGCGATGCAGCGGTGTTCCTTACGACGTTGCTTTGCCGTGCGAGGAGTCCGTATATGCTAATTACACTAATATACCCTCACCGCCAACTCTTGCTGGGTTCAATAAACGCATCTTCGCTGATGAAGAAACAAGCTACTCATCTTTCAGCTATCGTATTGAAGCGGTATGCATACTGGCACGGGTATTAGTCCTGAATAGCCTGCCAGAAACACACCGGGATCACTTGCAAGCCGTGGAAAATGCGCTTGTCAGCTGGACGAATCACCTTCCACCAAACAAAGTCGATATCGTGGATACGTATGGCAGCGTCGATGAAATACTGTTCCAGGCACACACTACTATCCACTTTGCTGCAATGCTCCTGCATCTTCCAAGAAGCAGCCTTCGGCCCGTCTGTCCAGAAACTGAATGTCCGATTTGCCCAGTGATCCCATCTCGGCTTTCGCCATCCTTCACCCGACATGTTCATGATATCAAAGCTACGGAGGCATCCAAACAACTCTCCAATCTTCTCTCAGTCCGCCCCAGCGTGCAGAGATACAGTCCATTTGTCGTTTTCAGCTTAGTACTCTGTGGAATGGTCCAGCTTGCCACAAGTCGCATCCATTCCTCAGAATGTTCTGATCATCACTGTAACAGAATCATCTTGGTTCTAGGCTGTCTGAAGACACTGAAACAGAAATGGCCCATCGCAAACCGAGCTCACTACTTCCTTCGGAGCGTAGCAGCAGAAACATTTACGGCCTGGATTGAGTCTCGATATCCACAAACCAGCAACGCTGTGCCTCTAGCCTCAAGAAATGGTCCCAGCTTTCCACCTGAAAATAATGCCTGGCTCTCTGTTGTTAGCAGCAATGACACATCCAGGCCTGTGGAGACTGACGCACAAGGCATATTCTCGCCGGGACTGTTATCCGCATACATCGACCCAACCTGCAGCGAGCCGCTGCTTCTAGGTCCTATGCCTGATCTTGACTTCACATGATCTGCCTCAATGTGATGACCAACCAGAGGCTTATAATCTGCGAACGTGCAATCCCCCCGAGGACCTCTGAACCTTGCTTGAGGGGCCTTACTACCTTCTTCGCTGCATTGTTATGGCCCACGCTACTACTACTCCGGGTGTCGCTGCGATGCACATTAAGCAGAATTTGCAGCACTAAATGCTATCCTGCCTGGCACTGCTCACGGCTATTGCTATGGACTCGAGCTTGCCCTCAAATACGCCTTCCAAGCCTCCATTTCGTCCTCCTCGGACTTGACTACGTGAATTGTCCCCGCAGCTACGCTCACCTCGACTAGGCCTATCGCTGTTCAACAGGAGATTTATGGTTTTCTTGTAAGCTGATGCATCGTATCACCATTTTATTATGGATCTTGTCGAGCGTGGCTTGAATGAGAAACAGGGTTGACTGTCGCTTCTAATACCTGTTATGAAACGGAAAAGCGATCTTTGCTGGATCTACCAGAAGCCGAACATCTGTTATATGAGAGATTGGTTGGTCTCAACATGCCTCTACGTTCTTAATGTTAGGGGATGGTTGCTGGGCGGGTCAAGGAAAACCAGACCATGCGCACAGCCGTGGCTCACTGGCAGTGAAAGTACATAATGAGCTTAGTAGCCGGAGGCCATGAACATGAGCCAGCACGTGAAAATTTCAAAAGCATGATAATATTCGCATCCAATTTGCATGTGTAGCCCTCAATTTTGACTATCTGCGTTAATCGTATCATGATAGTATTGAACCGGGATTGTTCACTGTGGGCTACCAAGTCGTGCAGATGTATGTCCTGCGAGTCTGCCAGCAAGGTAATAAACCTAGAAGTAGCACTGCAGCGAAGGCTCAGCATACAAGGGTCATGAGCCCTTCGGGGTCCCCGTAGGCTAGTGATGATGCGCCTTATCCCACCCTAAGAAGGGAGTACTTCGGGGAACCCTGGTTTATCAATGCCAGCAAGGAGAACCCAAATATCGCCGGACAATAACGACGCCAGCTGGGCAACCGAAGCGTATCAACACGCGAGTAGAGCACGTCTCAGAACGTGTTATCCAAACATCCACATCCCAATCTTCTCAACACTTAACGCTTCTTTGTAGTAGCCGGGACGCCCTCACTCGCACGCAGCTCCGCCAACTTCTTCTCCCGCTCAATTAACCGTTCCCTTTCCTCTTTGATCATCCGTTCAACCGTCTTATTCGCTTCCCCCAACCGATCCATCTCACTACTCTCCGTCGTCCGACTATACGGATTCTCCGCGGACGAGTTCGCCGGAATCTCAGCCGTCCTTACCCCCTTCTGCTGCTGCTGCGACTGCTTGGTATTCTTGCCACCCTTTCCCTTCTGCGGTTGCCCTGCTGCCCCCGCGCCACCTGTCAAGAGCTCATAAAACTGCTCCACGGGTTCATTGAACACCACCTCCTCATAGTTCTGGCTGACCACCAGCTCGCGGCGCTCTTTCTTCGCTTCCGCGTCTGGTCCGTACGGATGCAACTTCAAGCTATGCCATAGGGTCTGTGGCTTCTCGGTTGACTCCGGAACAAAGTATAGTTTGATCTGGATCTCGAATTCACCCCATCCGGTTTCGGTCACTTCGAAGGGGGCCTGTTCGATCGTTCGCACGTTCTGGGCGTAAGTCTCGTGGAGCTTGAATTGTACTTTCTTGAGCCAGTAGGAGATGTCTTCGTCGTTGACGCCTTTCACGAATACGCGCCACTGGTGCGTGTGGTCTGCTGGGACGTGGGGGGGTTTCTTGGCTGGGTCGAAGGGTTGGGCTTCACTGCCAAAGACTGTTATGGCTTGTTAGGATGGACTTGACTTGAGAATCAAAAAGACAATGGAAAGTAGAGGCATACCGAATGGCCGGAAGACAGAGACGCCCTTTATAGTTGTGATAGGTTAGTCGGTCGGCCTGGTCTTGTATGATCTGGGAGGGATGGACTCACTCTGACGCGCTTGGTTCCTGTCGCTGATGGCATGCTGCAAGACTGACAATATAACCAATCTGGAATAAGCAGGTCGTATGCATACACCGGGTAAGAAAAAAATATATCGATGGTTAAGAGGAGGTGTGTAGTTCCAGTATCGCTCTGGTCGCGATTCAGGCCGCGGAATCTCTGCAGTTGCACGTGACGGATGCGGGTGATACGATAAGGAATCTGGCGGAAGCTGAGCTGCGGCGGGCGGTCGTTGCTTCCTCCGGGTTCGAGCTCCGGCGATTTGGAATTCAATAAAAATGTTTCGTTGACTTCAGTCTCTTAATTCTCACAAAAGCAAAATATATTCGATCCGAGTTTACTTGATTTTATCTCACAATGGCAGCAAAAAGGGTGGTTGTCGCCGGCGGAAACGGCTTCTTGGGTATGTGATGCAGGCAGTCTATGTACCTACCAGCCGGACGCTTGAGCAATCAATGCTAACAGGTTATTCCCCGTACAGGTTCGAGGATTTGCAAATCTGCTGTCGCTAGAGGATGGGAAGTTACGTCGCTCAGGTACGAATGCTATTGATTCTGCTATCTTAAGGAATGTGTCTAATTCATACGCACTGGTATTAGTCGCTCCGGAGAACCGCGATGGGATACCGTCACTGGTTCTCTCAATCGACCAAGCTGGGCCAGCTCAGTCGAATGGGCTAAGGCCGATATGCTCAAGCCGGAAACCTACAAACCCTTTCTGAATGGTGCGAACGCCGTCGTCCATAGTATGGGAATTCTCCTCGAGGCGGACTACAAAGGGGTGGTGCAAGGACGAGAACCGATTCTTAGCGGGCTGCAAAAGGCATTTGCAGCGTCAAAACCAGGCAGTCAGGATCCGTTGCAAAGGCGGGAGGGAGAGCCTCTTCAAGTGAAAGAGCGTAATGGGCAGTTTACATATGAGCTTATGAATCGCGATTCTGGTTCGTGCGATGCCGGGTTATGATTGAATGGATTGATTGCTAACATCTTGATTACCGTTCATTTTAGCGGTCGCATTGGCGCAAGAAACCCTTAACGAACATGTCCCGACTTTCCTCTACATATCTGCTGCTTCAGGCGCGCCGGTTCTCCCAAGTCGATATATCACAACGAAGAGAGAGGCGGAATCTATCATCGCGGCGAAGTTACCGGAACTGCGGAGTGTCTTTGTGCGAGCCCCGTTTATGTACGATGAAAGCAGAAAGTTCACACTCCCCATTGCTCTTGGTGGCTTCGTCGGTTCTCAGGTTAATGCGCTTTTGGGCAACAGACTGGACTTCCTGGGCTCCATGGTCACGAAACCCTTCCAGGTGGATACTGTGGGTGAGGCTGTAATGGAAGCCCTGGATGACGAATCTGTCCGAGGTGCCTTGGGAGTAGAGAAGATAGAAGCGCTAGCTACGAAAGCGTGGAGGAAGAGCATGCTATGAGGGAGGAGCACATAGACGAGAAATTGATTGCCAAACTAACATGTCAGACTGGCTGCTTGGCGCCTGGAGTGAGAATATGCCCAAGGTGAGCAAGGCGAAGACCTATCTACCGACCAGACCCATGGAATGTCTGTGAAATTTAGGTCAAAATCCCGACCGAGCGCATGTCATCATCTGATTCCGCTCTGAGATAACGGCATCAGCAAAGTGGCTTTGTGACCAGGCCATCTCGAGCTGTCCAGGAAATCTCTCTGGAAGCTGCCATAGTGTACACTACATCATGTATCATAAATGAGGCTATAACCAAACATGCCTAATTCGTGTTTCAAGGGACCACCTGTCATCAAAACCGTCAAGTGACTTGGTATCTCGGTCAAGATGATGTGACTGAGATAGGTGCGGCTCGTATGTGCTATAACTGGATGCCAACTTCGTCAAGCAGGGTGGCGGACCCTGCAAGGGGAGTTCGTCGGCGACCTTCTTTGCATTTGTCCAGTATAGTCCGGAACGAGGTGCAGAGAAATGAAAATTGACGAAGCGCACACATCAAGTTGCTGTCATGCAGGTCTTTTTGCAAGGCGACTGTACGTTTGAACTGTCCTGCAGATTCAGATTTTCTTGGCGTAAATCAGATCATCGTACCACGCTCGAAGCTGTCGCGAATTTCCGTAGTGTACTGGAAGGCATTAGCTAGGGCTTTTGACAATTGACAAAGTAGGAACGCACCTTGTTATAGAATCTCGACAATTTCTGGTTGAACTGCTTGTTCTTTTCGTTGATGTAAGTGACGTCGCCGTCGTCGTCTCCGCGGCGGTCCCTCCGCTTCTTGAGTCGGACTTCCTCAGCTTTCCGAAGATTATCCACGAGCTTGTCAACAGCTGCTCTGTCGGGCTTGTTCTCCGTGAAGCCAACACTGTCAGCAGTAGAGTAGAAAGAGCCATTCTTATCGACGGCGATCATTTCACCGTCATTGGTCTCAACGATCTCGAGATCGCCATTGGCAGCAGCCTTTTCGATCGCTGCCATCTTCTCCCTCTCGTAGGTTTCGAGGTCAGGCTGTACTTCCCGCAGCTGTCTCTTGTACACCTTTTTCGCGTCTTGGGTGTAGTCCTGGAATGCGACATTGTCCCGATGACGCTGCTTCTTTTCCATGCGCTTGTCCCAATTTTCGGACTCGTCGACAGTCCAATCCCACGCACGCTTACGCTCAAAATCCTCGCCAGCGGCTTCTGTGTCAGCCTTGAGAAGGTTATGCGATGCGAAAGCATGTTTGCGAGAGAGCGAAGAAAGCAGCGACGGATCGGTTGCGAGACGCTGTGTTTCGGCAGCCGTTTCTTTCAGATTCCGCTCAGTAGCGGTTTTCTAAAATGATGTCAGTACGAACACAACGTACAGTGACCCTTCGTTACCATGAACTTACTGCGCGAGCTTGGAGAGCCTTGAATCTTTCTTGTCTTTGACGAGCTCTTGAGGCAGCATCATCGTCTTTTTTGTCCGTACTGGCATCATTTACGCTAGCCTCTCCTCCTGATTCTCCCTGTGTCTTCTCTTTTGAGGTTGATGTAGGTTCCTTGCGATCATCGCTGGCTTGGTCATTCTCTGCGGATTGCTTGGGTATTTCCTTGGCGCCAGAAGGGCTGGCCGCAGACTGCTCGGCAGGCATGCTGCAAACAGATAGGAGTGCGTAAGTCTCCAAGAATTAACTGTTGGGGTGAATTCGTAAAAAAAAAGTCGGGTATTTAGAAACCTCGAGTATATTGATGAGCGAAAAGCAAACGAAGGTCGGTTTCTGACTAAAGGACTGAAGCCTCGATTCCGGATCGGAGTTGCAGTTACGCCATGGCCCACCGCCATGTTGACCGCCTTGCCCCTGGTGGATTGCCGGGCGTTATTATGCTTTATCCACCCGCTGCCATCTCCACTTTCCCAACCCCGGATTATCACTGATGCCCATTGAAGACCGCCTCCACTCTGTCAATTGTATGTGTCCTTGATGCCTAGAAGTAATCGAAATCTATGTCACTATACTCTCACCTGTGTGTGCTATCACGGCGGCGGGCATTGAGGTCGTTCCATATTTCACCTTCGCTGGGCCGCCATGTCTCCATCGACGTCAATTCGAGAGCTTCATATACCGAGCCCACTCCGTCCCACCTGGTCAGGTTCGCTCTGACAGGTACCACGAAACCTTCTCACAATGATGTCTCCAATCCTGAGCTTGACAAACACCTCTCGGATATATTTCTCGGTGATTGGCCCTTGGTGTCTCTACCACCACCTTTTTGGAGCTCTTCTGGTCGAGAACCACAAAGCCCCGATGAAATCGCATCGTTCAAAGCCCTGAAACATGACGTACGAAACCTGCGTCACTTACAGGTGTTCATTGAAAGAACTGTAAATGAAACAGAAGGCAGTCTAATTTTACAGACACAATCGTGCGCCCTTTTAGCGAAAGCGCTGAATCGTTGCCAGCGAAAGAATTCCTACGGCGAGATTCTCACGGCGCTCAATGCTATCATCACAAGACTGGAGAAATTGAGACTACCGCGTACGAGTAATCTCTACTTTTTGGGGATGTACTATGCTGCACTCTCATTGTCTGCGCCGGCTCTTGAAAGGTTTCTGGATGGGTACCTTTCCGTTGGCCTGTGGCCCCTGGACAGCCTCGCAAGTGCGTCTATAGTGAATGCGCTCCTCAATGCCCTTCACTATAAGAGATTCCGTGAGGTTACTATTGATACGGACGCGATACTGGAATTGATTGAGGGAGGCAAGCAACGAAGGAAGAAAAACCTTCACGATCTGTTGTCCTGGGGCGATTCTGCCGGCCCGGCAATGCATCGTGGGCATTACCTTTGTTTACTCGCGAAATTGCGGAGCAGAGACCTTCTATCTGAAGTCTGGAGGCAAGCAATGTGGAGACTTTCGCCAAGCGCTTCCCCTGAAATGTACCAATGTATGTACTCTTGTATAGTGACTCTGATGGAAAGTGGTGATGTTCTCCGAGCTATGGATTACTTGCAAGAAGTGTCGAAGCATTCCCAGGATATGCTTCCTGGTATCTCCGAGTTCAAAGACGTCAACATGCTACTTGACTCAGAAGTTATTGGTCCTCTGTTACCTCGGATGGCAGGTGAGACAGAGTACTTGAAGCTTCTTGAGGCCCAATTAATACAGTTCGAGCACAAGCTGGGTCTCAGTTGGGATTCTGAAGGCCCCTATCACACGAATATAAGTGACCCGCACTCGATAATATCTGATATACCTCTCTTCAATATCGATGGTGACAGCACAGGCTATGAGAGCGTTGCACGCTTGATCACCGAAATCAACGCCTTCGGATGCTCCAGGTCAGCGACAGATCTCGGCAAGATTGCAGAACTGCTTGAAGAACACGACGGAGACGTTATCCCTGTATCTTTGCCATCAACTGAAGGCCAGGATTTGGAGTATGCCTGGTTTCCCCGATATTCTCCAGTTCAGTGTTCGGGGGCCTCTCCATCTGCTAGGAAAGAGGGTACTGAGCCATGGACACCTTCAACGTTAGGCTTAGTCCGTGTCAGCTGCGATAGCAGTGGATCCCCTCTCGAGCGCTCCATTCATGTGATGCAGCTTGGTCGTTTGGCAAGGAGAACCAGATGTCCACATGATCAGGATCCAAGCCATGATAATCCTTGGGAAGAGACCGAGCATATGATTGCGTGGGATCGTGTCTATGGCCAGCTCATCGCTGTTTACGTTGGACCAAGCAACAGGCCTATCGAGGGTCGCATGGAGTCACGAGCTGCACGAGCGCGATCTGGTATTGAGGCAATCACCACCGTCTCTCTTCGTGGTGATACGGCGCCAACTTCTCAGGGTGATCTGATATCTTTTATTGGTAATGCGTCTATGCATTATTACATCGAGGAAGATCCAAGCCCGGACCTGATGCTATAATTGCTTCCCTTGTTGGTCACTAGTGTACATAAGCATTGAGCTTTTAAGTACTTGCTCAGCACAAATAGCCTCTTTCTGGTACGATGCATTTTCGGCAATTACCATCGAAGACTTACCCTTGAAGAAGCTCATAATAGCTCTGCCGGATATTGCATCTCGCAAAGTGTGTCCGCCTCAAGGCCTTATTTCCCCCCATGGGAAGTAGCTATCAAACTTGCAGCCTAATAGCATCTGTTGCATACCCCATACATGCAGCTTGGTGGACATGTTCAGCATAGCCACAGCGATTCGTGATGCACTCTCTTGCTAACACCAGAAGGTTATGCTTAGCCATCTAAGACTCTGGGGAAGCCAGCATCATCCTTAGCTGTCCTCATCTTGCATGACCACAATCTCTCAACATCAGTGGCAGAGACTATGCAATGTAACTAGTATCTGCTAAGATTACATATTGTTCCAACGGAGGGCCCGAACGTGATGCACTTTCACCAGCAAAGAACCATGCTATCGGCCAAATCCGAGAGCACGGCTTCATGTCACGTAAGCCACGTCAATACCTTTCGGATGGACGGTGGGCGAGACATGGTCCCATGGTTTGATCGTGTGCTCTACCGCCTGCTCAATGTCAGATAACATTATCTGGCAGGTGAGCTGAAGCCCCTTGCAACTCCCTGTCTCATATTACGTCAGTATTCCGTGTCACCACAATGAAGGTTAGGTGAGCAAACCCTCAAGGCACGAAGGATACCGATTGCTGATATGCTTCTAGCACAACATGATTTTACTTTTCACCGTTTGGGTAGCCTGCAGCACATTCTGGTGACTGGTTTCAAAGATTCAATAATACCATTGCTGCCTTCTCTGGTGCCCTATCAGTGCAATGGGATTTCTAGCGGTCTCTGACTGTCACTTCATATCCCACACAGCATGCTGTAAGGTTGTAAGTACATTGCTAGCGGTTGGCTCACCTTCTCAAGGTTAAATTTGGGTATAATGCTGAGACAATCGATTATACAAAGAAACTTCCATGTATGTACGAATTTCCAAGTCGATTCAGAGCGTACGTACAATACAAATGCCTCCTAGACAAGGATCATCCCGTCTGTTCGGAGTAGTTTCAAGTGTGCAAGTTGCTGTGGCCCGCGCTAAGAGCACACGCAGGGTACCGCAAGACAAAACGAAGAGACAGCCAGGATATCCTAGGTTCAGGTGCAAGGTCAGTGCGGACAACTGGAAGCCAAGGCAAGCTTGTCAGCTTCGAGAGTCAGGGTATCCTGGCTCCCTTGCTCGCAGCAGCCCTTTGTCGACGCAGATTAGTAGACTAATTAGGAAGGTCGATAATCCATCGACCCGTAAGATTTCGAAGATCTTCTTCTCTTGCAGGGTTGCGCCATTAGTTCGCGATCGAGGCTTCCACGTCGCCCTAGCAGGGGAGGTGATGCGTCCAGGATTCGGTGTGCTCTTTTGCTTTTTCTCCAAGAAACGGCCCCAACGAAGACAGAAAGCATCGATCCATATCCTTCATCTCTTCAATTGTATGCTGTGGTCGAAAAGAAAGGCATTCTTGCATAAGCCGTCCAGGGAATATTTCAGAACCCAAAGTGTCGCTGGCGTGTAGAGCCCAAAGGCTGTCTCGACGCGAGGCGGGCGGCCCGTACTTCGGCCAGAACCTTGGGCACTCAAATCATCCGGTGAGACCGGAGGGCACATACTTGTTAGTTAGTTAGGTAGTATGTCTATAGGTAAGGTTTGTCTAAGATTTAGTGGCCGCATTCCCACACTCTATTGGTATCAACTTGCCTGGTGTGTTTTTCTTTTCATGTATCATGATTTGTCATATCTGTAGATATAGTACCATCATATGGAGCGGTTTCAGTAGGATTGGCGAGTGGCTAATGTAATTAAGATGCGTGGAATGGTAAAGGGAAGATTGAGCTGGCTGGAGGGAGAATAGTATTGCGGTTGGGTTGCCGGGAGCAGCTGCTATACGGCGGCGGAAGGCGAACGTTGGGCCAAGTCACTTGATCCCCCCTTCCTTTTCGTAATGCGGCAATCGACAGGTCGACGAGATCGCAGCGACTCCTCCGCTCTCTTGTAAACTGGAGATCTCCGATTCCCACGGACTTTTCCCTTGGCCCAATCGGAGAAACGCCCTTCTTTCCCCGTAAGTCACTCATTTCCAGCCTTCCCTTGAAATGAACCGCATGCGTGCAGACTGCTGGTCGAATAATACCTTCGGTTCCTGACAAATCTTTTCCTATGGTTGCCTCTGGCGATAGTTTACTCAAGGAGTATCTCCGTGATTCGCTTCCTACACGGGTTCTCCGTCCTAGTTGCCTTCTATAGGCAAATGGAGTGTGGCTGGCAACGCGCAGCGTTAATTGGCATCCGACCTCAGCGTCCGACCCATGCCTCCATTAGTCCCAACTAAAGAGAATATCCATATCGACGATGGACAGAAAAAAAACAGAGTGGAGGAAATTCTCCCCCGGAGGAAACTCCTAGGAATAAGCAAGAAGCTCACGATTATGCACTACCTGTGGACGGTCATGACGCACGAACAGGATCATCGCCGTAGCACCCAATCTACACACTAGCCACAGCACTACAATTGCAGCTTCCGGGATTCCAAAAGGCCAGACCCATGACTGCCTGGGTAGGAACACAGAAGGGTGGACACTGGATACCCTTAGTGTGCATGAGGTACACCCGGATTCCAGGAAATAGAACGCTGCATAGGCGTGTCGGTACTCGGTAATAGTTCCATCTGTCTGACGGTGGTTGTTGACTCATCAGCATCCAGCCAATTCTGGCCATCGATCAAGTCATTCAACAGTCAAGGATGTGACACATCATTCATGGTTGTCGGCAAGGCAACCACACATACAGTAGCCCGTCCACCCAAGAGGGAATGGTGAACAGTTGTTACAGGGCTAATGCACGAAAAGTACTTCTGTCGCCGACTAGGATTTCTTCCCCGCAGCACCAGAGGGGGTTACGATAACACAAATCAGCTGAGATGAAACATCCAGTGTGATATGTGGCGGTGACCACCGATCGATCTTCCATTGCAAGGATAGGCATCATACCTTGTACCTTAGCCACAATGTGTGAATGAATATGTCCCAGGATCTCACTACAGGAAATACGAAGCGCACTCAACGGGTTTCTCGGGCTTCATTGAGATCAAAAGTGGAAGTGGTTTTTGAGGTCCCCACCAGAAGTAAGCCAGCTCGCCTCCCTTCTTCTTTTCTCCCCTGTAGTTCCGTTATTGCAAATTATCTGACCAATTGGCCCGCTTGTTTTATCATTTGTGGTCCGGTGTTCTTCTGGACCAGTAATGATCAGCGAACTCGATGGTTGTTGCGGAGAAAAGCTCACTATAAAATAGTCTTAGATTCGAAACGGCCCGTGCAAAAGACCCCGGTATCCACGACCAGCAATGACAAATCGGCAATACTCGCGGGCCTGGGAGAACGGGGGCTGGACACGCCCACCACCATACTCCATATTCGTCCTTGTTTGCTCTCTTAAAGATGCTCCTGGCTTAGGCATGCAACAAGCTCAGTATGCAGGGCCCTGGTTTCATGCTAAAGACGTGGGCGCAAAAGTAACCTGAACATTGTCGGATGGAGTTCGCAGTCCCGACACTAAGCAGCTGAACAGCCGTATTCGCCTAGCGTACGGAAAGATCCCCGACGGCCGTGTCCGGCTTTTGCGGTCAATGGCCCTTGTCCTAAGCTCAATAATTGTCCCGGGGGTTCATGGGCGACATCTATCATCACACCCTTCCAGGAATAGTGCTCTGTATATGGTCGATAGTTGAAAAACAACGGTGAGAGTCCAGATCTGGACTCCACTATACAGTTTTCTAGCCGTTTCTATACGAATCTTGCAGCACCATCTTCCTTTTTCCTACTTCCTTTCCGAGCTGCAGGACAGGTCTGTGCCGGGAACGCCGAGGCTCGCAAATCATCAGTATAGACCATTCATTCCTTGCACCGATCAGCTGCTGGAGGCCCATCTAGTTGCATTGCGTGGACGGGCTGCAGAGTATCTAACGATGATAGCGACCACGGATAGCGATCCCAGCAATCTGAAATGCACGGCTTACGGCGTACATGGAATAATATTCTTGCCAATCAACTGGTCGATTAGACTCGATCTGCGCTTTTATTCCCTGTTCTTTCCTGGCTTGTCGCCGCTCACTCGTTGAAACCTGGATCACGGAGTCGAACATCTCACCCGATGGTTCCTGCTGGGTTTCCAGATCATCGCGCATTTAAATATTAAATCCTTCGGCAGCAGATCGCCCTAGTTCCCCGGGAAGTGGGTAATAATTGGGCGCCTTGGTAAACACAGTTCACGCCTTTGACTAGGCACTTAGCAAGCGATTCGTTGCATATACGGGATCCTATTCCGTTATTGGCCATCGCAAGAAAGATAGTCCCTCCTTATGATACTACTTACCACTTCGACGAATACGAGATGCCCACGGCATATCAGGGTCAGTCGTTTAATGCTTTGGCCAATGATTTCCCGCAAGGCCGTCATACTGCGTCGTCTGCAGAACCCAAAGGGACCCATAACAGAAGTGGCTCGTCGACTGGAACCTTACTAGTAATTGCGATGGTCGCGCAAAGTTCCGGACAGTGTACAGACCAACACACTGGGCACTAGCAAAACCTACGCTTCTTTTGTTAAATACGGAAATTTGGGATATCGGAGAAACTCATGATGGAATAAAGATTTCTAAGATTCGGGGATATACACGGCCGGATCCTGTCAGGGACGCAGTGTTGCTGCATGTCTGAATTTTTCACAATGCCACACACATACGCAGTGGGCACGCACAGGCTCTCACAAAAGCATCGACCAACCCGTTTCCCCAGATCCATTTCTTTTCTTGCACGGCCACAGGCAACTATAAAGTGCCAATAAACACTTGCTATTTTACTGCTTGGCTTAGGGTTAGTACCACGCTCCTGGCCATTCTTCCTCCTTCTGGGGTGGTCATCAGACACGCTTACTTCACGTTTCTACAGGGTCACTATTCCAGTTGCTTGCCTTGCCGCTACTTGCGCGCCGGTGTGAGTCGTGCTACGATCTGGTTGGGCAGAGGTGGGCAGTCCCCTTTTCTTTTTCCTCCTTCGTCTTGACTACCTTTTTCCGTGCTTCGGGACCCTCCTCAGACAATTGCTTTGTGGTCTGCCTTTGAAAATCATCAAAAAGAGCTAACATATGCATATCACCTCAGCCAGCTACTTCGGTAGGTTGGAACAACCGCCCACGTCAGGTCATGTTATGTGCACCTTTGGCCTTAAAGGAAGCATCTTAAAACCTACCGCACACAATTAATCTGTGAACTCTGGAAAATCTTTGGCGCTGGGTATACCGTTACGTAGTACATGGCCAATTTGTCCCAGCGGGCTTCTGACCCCTGTCGATTGTTCTTCCCATATCGGGTCTCATTCCATCTTTTCTTCTAAGTTGACCAAACCTTGCTTGACCATTTTGACGTTCCCTATTGTGGATGCCTAGCCCGCGAACACAACGGGAGATCAGCCTTTGGCACTCTACAGAACAGCGAGAGCAGGTCCTAGAAGAAAGAAAAAAAATTGTACGGACCCCCGGACGTCCGCGCAAATTGCATAGATGTCTCGAACCCCGCTACCACAATGGATGTATCCCGCATCCAGTGGTCAACCGTCGGATGCAAGATCCTACGCCGCTGGTGATGATCACCAGATGTTGACGATGCCAAATCGATTCCACACTCTGGAAGATCCCCCACGCTTCCTCTATCCTGACAATCAGGGCTACGCTCCGACTTATATGTATCCCGGATCAAACTCCAGGGCTCCCTATCACGGCAGAACTTGGGACAGCCTCGCAGACCCCAAATTTAACCCTTCGCCAATACCGGTTGCCAATCATAGTGTCTTTCCTCAGTATGGGGCCCAAAGGTCAAATGCCATGAGAGGCGCGGAGTATGCCTCCGCTTCAACCTCTGTCTCTAGCCCTTATCAGGATTCCCCCAGTTACAGTCGCGGTTCTATTGGTTCTATTTCCGGGACGCGGACAAATGATGTGGAGTCTCAGTATAAACCCCTTTCTTTCTTTAAAAGAGGCCCTAGTCTTATCTGCCTGGAGTTATGATACCATGATCTTGGTCAAATGTGCATACTCCCGCTATTTCGCCTCGAGCTGTGGTGCTTCGTAACTCCCTTAAGAACCATTGTGCTAATAGGGTTTATACAGGTACAGTAGCAGCTCGGCGACCTTTCCAAGCCCCGTTCACTCTGAGGAGAGCTCGGCAATGTATCCAGCGCTCGCACCACCCATAAAACCCCAGGCACAACAGCATCAGCGACACACCACGTCCAGCATGCCTTCTGGGTTTGAAAGATTGCTTCACCATTCTCCAACCCCATCACCTCCGCCACGAAGAACCTCCACGACATCACGCTATCACCTCTTCATTCGACAACAGCCCCTCGCAGCCCGGGCTTGTGGTGCTGGAGACCGAGACCGCCGCCCTGTAGACCCACCTCCAATTCTGCAGCTGCTATTAACGGACTTTGACCCCAACACATCAGATGATATCGATATCCTCCAAGATCCGCGCTTTACCGTTGGCTGTTTCCTGGTTCCCGAAACGCGAGGATCGATTTCGTCCGACATGGATGGTGATAGTTCCCTTCGAGAGGACCGTCTCGGAACTGCTCCCGACCAATCTACACCACTGCTTTCGGGCAAAGCATTCGTCTCGCCTTTCTTTGTCGATGAAGATCCTGATCCAACAACTGCCCCAAATCATCCATCAACATTTGATTATCACCTACCGGAACGAAGAGTCCAACTTGCTCCATCAACCTCTAAGGGAGCCCAACAGCCGGCAGCATTCTTTATATTCTCTGATCTCTCCGTACGTACAGCTGGACTGTACCGCTTACAGTTCCGTCTTATGAATTGGGGCCTCGTTGAGGACACGGGTCAATCGATGCCCGTTCTTGCTGAAGTGTGGTCCGATCCGTTTAAAGTCTACCCTGCCAAAGACTTCCCCGGGATGCGAGACTCATCACGTCTCACAGAGGGCCTTAAGGAATTAGGATTCGTCGAACTCAAGACCAGGGGAAAGGGGAAAGGCAAAGGTCGACGGAGGTGACTTGACAGCGAGAATGGATAAGGTACAGATGAATGAGTGAACGCAGCGCTGGTCGGGGTTCTTACGAATTGGTTTGATCTGCTTCATGTCCTCTTTTCTTTTCTTCCCCCCTCCAGTGTCTCTCTCCCCCCTCGGCCGCTTGCAAATCATGATTCTTTTTTCTTTCATTGATATCAACGCTCGAATCTGGCTTCTGGAAAGATGGCTATGAAAGGATATATATGATACTGTTACTAGGTTATATTGATGAGATATGGAGTTTGGATAGGGCACTCAGGTGAAAGAGATGCAGGCTGTTAGTTGGTATTTATGTTGAGGCAAGGAATAGACAGGAAACTATGTCACCAGTCATTGCTGCAAAGAGACATAAGGTTCTATACATAGATGTCCAATTGTTGCATATTCCCCATCTCTTCCCTACTAATGAATTGTGGTTAACTGGAATCTGAATCCGTAATACTAGTATAATGGAGAACTAGTACTTTGGGCCCCATACTGAGGAAAGACACTATGATTGTACGCCATGCCTACTAGTAGTGTTGATAGGTATCAAGCTGTAGAGATTGGCAGTAATAGTACTTACTAACGGTATACTTAGTGCAACTCCTGTACTACTAGTGTTTGGGCGTTCAACTCTATGAGTACTAGCTCCACGATCGTTAGGAGGTTCAGATATATACTAGTGACCCAAGTTCAATTAGTTACATCATTCAAAGTCGAAGTTTTGACAAGACAGTAGCAGAGCAGCACACTAACCTAGAAATGACAGTAATCACAATAGAGCACAATTGCACTTCTCTTCACTGCTGCTAAATTAGAAAAAGACATGACCTATAGAAGGTGCAAGTCACGCTGGAATACAGGCGAAGTGGTTGGTTGACAGTTAGTACAGTTCGCCGGGCGGAGCCAAAGTCGGGCGCGCGCCGTGGCTCCGGCAGGGAAATTCTCATGGTTCGTTCCTGGCCCGTCGGTTCACGGGTTTACTGCAATCAGTAATGACAATTGTCGTAGCATTGTAGTTGTTTGATATGGCTCAGAGAGATGAGTCTCGGGTTGTATGAAGAGGAGATTATAGCTACGAAATATGGGCGAGGTGGTGGTTTGACAGCTCTCCTAGGACCGATCGTCCAAGCGACAGATCTACCAGTGCTCATGACGTCCCCGTGGGGGCTTTGCACGCCAAAAAAGGTCCCCCTTCCAGCTTGTTTCAACATTGTCCATTCAATGCGATAATAATGTACACTCGCCCGCCTTTTTCCCGCTTTCCGGTTTATATCAGAACAGTCTTAAGAGATATATGACGGAGAAAAGAAAAGAGATAGGATAAAAACACACACAGACAATACATGACGGAATAGAGAAAAAAAAGGGTGGTGCGAGACAAAACTCCAGCATGATGAGATGCAGTCCAATCACAACGTCCAGACCATCCAGGTAGCCTCTCCCCTCTTCCTTTCCCACCCCCTCCGCTCATCCGCTCAGAACGGAGGAGGGGTTGTGGAAAGATGAAAGCTTAGGGTGACCCGGTAGCATTAAAAAAAAAGTCCCCGAAAGCAGAGAGTAGTATATAGGTCCCAGTTTAGTCCATAGTGGCCTTGGCGCCCACGGCCTTGAGGGTCTCCACGATCTTCTCGGCCTCCTCCTTGGGCACAGACTCCTTCAGGACCTTGGGAACGGACTCGACGAACTTCTTGCTGTCGACCAGGGACAGGCCGAGGAGGGTCTTGATCTCCTTGATGACCTTGGCCTTGGAGGAGGCGTCGACGGACTCGAGCTTCAGGTTGAACAGGGTCTTCTCCTGCTGGGCGGGAGCAGCCTCCTCTTCCTCAGCAGCGGCGGGAGCGGCGGGAGCAGCGCCCATGGCGAAACCGCCAACGGGGAGGTCGGGGATGTTCAGGCGGGTCTAGAATGACGACGTGCATGTCAGTATCGAGCTCAATGTAATTCGATGAGTGTCAATCCACCACGCTGGATGGGATACAGCCTGAAATGGGCACGATGCGGAGTTTGCGACACAGATCCGGGATAGCAAAACAACGCACCTTCAGGGTGGAGACGAGGTCGGCGGTCTCCAACAGGGTCAATTGACTGATCTGGTCGACAATCTGGGTGATCTTGGGGTTGGCAGGAGCAGCAGCAGCCTCCGCCTCAGTGGATTGCCATCTCCGGCTGAGTGTGCGCTGGGACAGGTATGTCGTGGGAGCAAGGCGCAGAGAAGCGGTAGGGCGGACGATCTGTCTGCAGCAGCGAGCTGCGGCCTGGGCGGAAACGGACATGATGGACGGGAGGCGAGGGCGAACGGAACGGAAACAGGGAGAGACGTAGGACCGTGAGGGGAGGGTGACCAAGGAATTGAAGCTGCTCAAGATATCGAATTGCTCGAAGAAGGCCTTTGCGGGAAAAGAAAGTCGAGCGTCGGCCCGGAAAATCCAGTCACGTCACGTGATGCGACTGACCGCCCGCCTATCAGTGCTGCTGCTTATACAAGTATACACTCTTGCTATGATGAGTGTTATGGAAGATCTACACATAGTTACAATCATCTACGTACTGCCAATTCATAATTGAATCTGATTTACCCTAGTCGGCCCAAAGGATTCACATGAGCAATATTGCTACCAAGACTACCACACAAAGCATTATACACTCCCGGACATGCCGGGTTAGTTGACGTTCATGATTATCGTGTCTATATCACATTTTGAGTTTTAGACCACATGGAATATACCGCTCTCCAACGCCTCAAATTTAGTCCTCATCCCAGTTGGGGTTGGGACCCGGGGGCTTGGGTCCACCCGCCTGTCGAGCAACGATGATCTGGTCGACACTGAGGACTGTCCGGGCGGACTCACTCGCGAGTCTAATGGCCCAGCTCTTAGATGCCAGCAAGTCCAGAATACCCTCATCCACAGTGTCAAGAGTGCCAGTCGAAGAAGGTCCCACTTCCAGATCGACACCAGTAGTCCAGTAAGGCTCCTCCTCGGAACTGCCTTCTTCCTCCGACTCCTCTGACGACTCGCCGTTGGCGCTCGTGTGATGGTGGGCAGTGTAGAGACGAGAAAGAACCTCAGTAGCGTCCAAGCCAGCGGACTCCGCCAGAGTACGAGGGATCACCTCGAAGGCTTCGGCGTACTTGCGGATAGCGTGCTGGGGCAATCCGGGGGTGCGATCGGCGAACGCAGAGATCTTCTCCACAAGCTGAATCTCGGTAGCACCGGCGCCAGGAACCAGACGGGGGTCCTTAGTGATGGCCTTGACGGCGTTGACACCGTCGTCAATGGCACGCTCGACGTCATCCAGGTGGTTCTGGGTGGCACCACGCAGGACGATGGTAGATGTGCGAGTAACAGCGTTGGAATCTTCTTGACGGAAAACAGTGACACGGTCTCCACCAATCTCAGTGGTCTCGACGACGTCGATAGAACCCATCTCATCGGGCATAGGAGCACCCAGACGAGCGAGAGGAGTAGCACCGACCACGCGGCAGAGACGGCGCAGCTCGAACTTGGACAAAATCTTGATGACAAGAATGTTGAAACGGTTCAGGTAGTGCATGGCGAGATCACCGATCGTGGAACCGCAAACAAGGACACGAAGGCCGGAGTCGTAAAGCTCCTTGATGGCCGCCTCCAGACGCTCCTCCTCACCCTTCGAGAAGTCCAACATCTCCTGCGCGTTCTTCAGGAGCACGGTACCCTTGGTCTCGGTCTGAGAGATGTCAATGGGGCAGCTGAAGACACCGACCTTGGCCTTCTGTGCCTTCTTAACCACACCATCGGGCTCACGACCAAGGACCATACCCTTGACAACACGGGACTGTTCCAAGCTACCACCCATGATCTTCACAACGCGGACGTTATCGACGTTAAAGTTGACGGGGTTCTTGGGCAGGACGGCGAGGACGGCCTCGGCAACCAAGGAGGCCAGGATGTCTTCGGTTCCGGACTGCTTGCTGGCGACAACGGTACGGAGAGCCTTGCTCAATTCGGTCTGAGAGCGAAGATCCTGCAGGCGATCGACCTCGAGGCCTAGAGATAAATCCATACGTTAGCAAGTGCGGGAGAAGCGATCAGGATAGCCAATGGACCGGTAGCCCCTGAATGTAGTATAGAACGCATAACCCGAGAACAACCCACCTTCCAGCACCTGAAGAGCGAAGTTCTGAGCCTTCTCATAACCCTGCGTGATATCACTTGTCTTCAAACCCATCCGCAACAATTCCTCGGCCTTCTTCAGCAACTCTCCCGCCAGGATGATGACCATGTTGGTACCGTCACCCATCTCCGCATCCTGCTGTTGACTGGCCATCACAAGCAACTTGGCAGCGGGGTGCACAACATCCAACTCGCGCAGAATCGTAGCGGCATCGGAAGTGAGGATCATCTTCTGCAGGTGGTTAATCACGATCTTGTTGCGACCGTACGGGCCCAGCGACGTGAGCACGGTCTGAGCGATAGCCTGGCAGGCTTCGATGTTGCGGATAACCGCACCGTCTTCGGCATCATGACTATGAAGAACAGGATGTTAGTCAATGATTCGAATCATCGCCGGATTGTCAGTATTGGCGGTGCCTGATATGAAACTCCCGCCATGCTCGAGGGACCTGAGGGGCGGGACATTCCACCACGGGGGGTTTTGCTTCGCTCACCTCTGATACCCAGGCTTGAAGAGACCAGCCTGGGAGGGACCAGGCATAGACAACGACATGATGACAAAATCCTTCCACTGAAGTTCCGGGAAGAATTAAGAAAAGTAGTAATGGGGGACACTGCCACGACGCTGTCCTGAAGCTGTTCTGGGAATTTTCGACGGAGCTTCGAGACGGTCTGGCGGCGGTTGTTTGTTTGGTTTGCACCCGGAGGGGCTCTCTTTCTGTTGTTCTGCTTAGAGAGCAAACCATCACAACAACACACTACTTTATGTGCTCAGGAAATAATATTTCTACCTCACATCAAGCCGATCTACTAATATACTGTCCGTGGCACCTAACACATGACATGAACTGTTCACACAGACCTTCCCCGGTCTCATACACAAACACATTTCTCCCCCCACTCGCAACTAGGCTTCAATGTCTGTTGCTTAATGCAGGGTTTCTCTCGCTATTGAGTTTAACAAGCGGACCAGAGACAAAACGAGCAGAGATGCAGTGAGAGTATCAATTGAAGTTCTCCGGGGCAGTGGGAACACTACACAGGGCGCATACTCCCCAGCCTCCTAAATTTGTGCTCTCTTATAAGTGAGCGCGGAATATTTCTCCAGTTGCCCTCTTCTCGATCAAAACCCCTTCAGTGAGGCTTTGTCAGGCATATCTTACAACTTTCCGTCTTTCTGTATGCGAATATTTGTCTTTTAAACCCACAGCACAATCATGAAGGCTATGAAAGCCATACATAGTGTAACAACTGCGTCTTCACTCTCTACTCCCGGCTCTGTCAACGGGACACCAGAAGAACATGACATTGACTATGATGCTCTCTCTAACATATCCGGTGGCCTCTAATCAGTGCAATCATCTAACTTGACATACCTGGCGTATAGTGAACTCCCTATGCCGCATTGCGAACCCCCCCCCCCCCCCCTTCAAACCTTTTCCCCATATTTCTACTTCAACTCGCATGACAGGATGAACATGGCTGAGTTGAACTCCGTGGACATTATTGCTATCAACCAATAGCCTACTTAGTAGATGGAGCTCATCAACTTGAATGTAAACAAAGCCCTGTCAACCACAGTAATGATGCGCAGCACTCCGAATATAAACCAGCCCCTCCCCTATACTCCGTACCCCAACCTATCCCAATTGATTTATCTCAACTTATAGATTGCTCCAAGGGAAAGGTGGTGTGGATCTTGAACTGCGGAATTCTGGAGCAGCGCAGGGTCCTTGCTGTGTTTGATGAGAAGATGCACGACGTTTAGCAGATCATGTTGGCGCACATAGCCTACACCCAGGCTGTCGAAGTATCGCTGCAGTTTGGGTTGTCGGCTCACATAGCCAATCTCGGCGGTCAGTCCCAGATCAAGGACTGATGCAGGTTGTCCCAGGCTGTGTCGATACTTGGCTAATCTCTACAAGGAACATGTTTGCTGCGGCATAGTTTGCTTGGGATGTTGACCCCGGCTCTGGGAGATAGCTCTATTCACATCATCGAGATTTGCTACGTTTCCTTATACCGCAACAGGCTAACATCCCATACATCTGAGCTCCTCGAGAATTTCCTTGTGGGCTTCTGTAGTTCCTGAGTTGGGTGACAGGAATACAAGGTATCGTGCACCGTTACAGGCCATCCATCTTTGCAATGGACTGACCCAACCCTCCGAGGCCACCAGATAATTGATAAGCTTTCTCTGACGAGAACTCGGGGGTTGCGAGACTTGTGGCGGTAGGCAGATCCGCAGCATCCTCAGGAATCCTAATTACAATCTTCCCAATATGTTTGCCACTTTGCATATAGCGAAACGCGCTGGCGGCATCTGCAGCGTCAAAGCAGGTGATGCGGTTTGCATGTACGACTTCGCGATCAAGGAAGTCTGCATATGGCCCAGCTATTTCGGTTCTGGAAACAATCTAAATGAGAAAGTGACATTCAAGATACGACGGCAGGTGGGTCATACGCGGGCGTGGCTCCCTTGCCTTGTTCAAGGTTGCTTTGCATGACTTGAAGTAGGTCAGTGGTGTAGAACGATCGTGCTTGGTCGAAAGAGTTCATGGGCAAGATGGAATGGCCCAGGACGTCCCTCTTTCCGATATCGAACATTTTCCCTCCTGGAGCAACACACTTCCATGGGGCATGCAGGAGCTTGCCTGGAAGAGGGCTCAAAACTATGTCGACTCCTCTATTATTGGTCTCTCGCATAAGGTCACGGTGAAACGACGTATCTCGAGAGTAGAATATACGGGAGCGAGGAATATGGCACTCATTAACAAGATACTGCACCTTCTCTTCCCTGCCCACAGTAGCGTAAACCTGCAACCGAAAAAGACCAGATTAGCATCTCCATTCTCCATGGGGAAAGTAACCATGAAACATACCTGAGCTCCTCTCATTTCAAAGAATCAAATTGCAGCCAGTCCCACTCCACCACAGGCTGAATGAACCAGCACCGTCTACAGATGGTCAGCAACGACCATCTTGTCCTACAAAGACAGCCTCAACTTCACGTGCACTAACCTGACCCTTGCGGAGTTCTCCAACAACATCAGAACACCAGATAACCGTGGCATAAACTATCATGAGACCTGCAGATTCCTCAAATGGCCAAGTATCTTGGATCTTATTGACGAAGTCGCCCGGCATTATTCGTCGAGTGCATAGGCTACCGGGGTGACCGAACATCACCCTGTCTCCTGATCGCAGGCAGGTGCAAAACCTTTGACCCAACAGCACGTACAACCCCACTGCCCTCGTAGCCCAGGTCCTCAGTATACCCGAAGAGGCCATATGAGATAGCAATATCCTGTGCATGAGTGTGAGTTCGGACCACTCAATTGGTAACGAAGTAATAGTGAGCTTACCGTAAAGTTCAGACCCACACATCGGACGTTGATTTCAACCTCATCATCTCCAAGAAGACTGTGTCTATGCTCTCTCCAGACCAATGTATCTAACAGACCAATAAATTCTAGAGAGAGCTTCTTCGGGAGCTTGTTGTCGATCGGCTTGGTGAGTTCCTGTGTAGCCGGAACGGACTGAAGTCTGACTGTATGTATAACACCCTTGACCAAGGCATACTCCTTACCTCTGCCGGTAGATCTATTGCATGCCCCAAGTTTGTGAATGTGGGTCTGTAGTGACACCAGACTTTGTATTGCTTCATCATCCAGTTGATCAACTTTGAGGGTGGATATAAACAACTCGGAAACATTCGCACATTCTGTCGTACTGAACGTAGAAAACCATGTGTCGGTCCGTAGCGAGGATATTGACAGCTGACTTGAGTGCTCCTGGTGACCCAAATACATGGTGGTTGCTGAGTCCTAGTATAAAGTCCTTGAGCTGCTGGAAGCCTTCTTCATCCAAGTTATAGAGTAGAGGAGAGACCACATCTAAGAGGACGATCATAAACCGAGAATTAGGTGACGGGTTATACAATCCCCATAGCTCGACAATGTTCCCATGAGAGCGGAACTGTCTCGACACCTCCGTAGCAGCTCCACTCTCATGCTCCGAAACAAGCAGCGTAATCTTATCCGGTGCAGCTGGAGGGATAGGCCGAGTAGACACCATGTTGACAATAGACTCGTTAAACTGATGCGTGGTGAAGTCCACGCCAGAGAGTCCTATGCCCAGTAGCTCCTTCCGCCATCGATCAACATTTACGTATGGCTTCTCGACACGTTCATCATTCTCTCCAACCCACCATCCAGGTAAGAAGCCCTGCTGGGGGCGTTAGCAGCCGTTATATAAGAACCATTGATCGTATACTTAGGGTTGAAGGGAGAAATTGAGGGTTGTCCAGCCTCACCATTACATATTCAGGCAACATTAAGTCTGCAAGATCCGTGACAGAGTCAGTCATCCCCCTGCCAATACTTATACAAACCGGTTCACTCACCGCCGCACACCACGCTAGGTACTCACATTTGCTGCAACAATAAGGTCGTGCCTTTCGGGCTCAATTTCCTCACTCAAAGGGTCTCGCGTAATATCAAGCACTGCATATTCAATTGATGTTCTCTGTGCAAAGCGTTTCCGAGCAGCTTCCAAGAAGCCGCTAGAGACATCGGTGAACATGTATTGAGAATATAGTCGGGTGCTGTCAGACGCTCGGATGGTAAGTAATTTTATATCACAAGCAGTTTACTTTTATTAACTCTTTATATTATAGAAGACAATAGATGGTAGACTTTACAATCCCCGCGATCAGTAGGTAGTATAACTGGCCCCTTCTACCCGCATATTGCTAACCTTCTGTCCGCATCATACACACACTCTCTTCTTTGGCCCCTATAGCAGCCTCGGTAGTAGGCCGTGTGGTAGCCTATATTCTAGGATTATATTCAAAAGTACCTAAGGTGATTTAAATTGGTACGGTAATACCACAGTAGTAGCTCAGGAAGTGGCCCTAAGAAAGATGGTGACAGGCATAAAGCGAAGCATGGGCAAGCAACCAGTGTTCACCTCTTCATCGTGATTCCCTCCACATGTTTGCGAGGATATAACAGAATCTTCGCAAGACTTTTACCTTTACTTTTCCTACAGTCGAAGATCTTACTTTCAATAGCGCTAGGGCATAGGAATTGCAGCATGAAACGAATGTTAAATTCCCTTGCAGGTACGACGGCAAATACGTTTCCTGAAATCACGAAAATACGCGAAGAGCTTGCAGAGCCCATCGATTATCAACGCAATTCCTATTAGCTCATAACTAAGTAAGCAACACGGTAAAAACGACCTCTACGTCCCGAAGGTGCCGAAGCGAACAGATATCAAGAGTACGATGAGAGACATAGCAGGCTCCCCAAGTCCTTATAGCTGTACCGGCCCAATCCCTCACCTGACTGGCTTTCTAGGAGATAGCGGCTCATTATCGCCTCGGGGTTGAGCAGGACGATGAGGTAGCTCCTCCTTCTTTAGAAGCCTATTATTGGAGGTGACGAGGGAAATAAACTTGTATCCCGGATAATCCGTGAGCATGGTCCACACTTTTATTGGCACAGTTAATAACACGACCGTCGAGTGGCTGTGGAAAGATCCTTCCACTTTAATATCAATGCTCAGCACATCATCAGGAATCTTCCTGAGTAGCCAGGCCTCCCAGGCCTTGACATCCCCATGTTTAAGATTGTCCTTCACACAAGTGGATAGAAGAAAAACCCGTTCAGGAAACGAAGAGGTTTTGGGAGTATATAACTTCTACCAAATGGCTTCAATGTGATGCTTGGATGATCGCGTTAAGGAGAATGCATCAAGTATACTGGTATTTGATTTTTGGATGCATGTCGATGACGGGAATAAAGCGAAGGATGAGCAAGCGATCAGTGTTCAACCTCTTGATTGTGATCCCCTCTTCAGGTTTGCGAGGGTATAACGGATTTTTCGCAATTATACCTATAGAATCCATTGAGGAAGTCTAGTAGATCTGTCGGTGAGCCTGCAATACTGTCTCCACCTACTTTCCGATGTATTGCAAGAGACACAACATTATCATGATTACCACCGGAGACACGCAATTGGTTAACGGCTGTCTGAAGGTTCGTCGCTAGGTTTTGCAGACTGTGTCCGTTCGGTTTGGTCAAACATAATTATATAGGCCTAGAGTCGCTCATGGTGTACATCCTCTTTCGTAAAGCTTTGGCATCATGCAGGTCTTCGTTAATGAGATGCCCTCCTGCCGGAACATACACTTATTCGCCTATGGCGATGCTTGGTCGTTCTTCAAGACTTTCGTAGCTCAATTAGGTTCGAGGCTGGTTGTTCAACACCGGATTTCGATATATGTTAAAGGATCATAAGAGTCTGTTAAAGCTCTACTAAGTAGACCAAAACGATATATCGCGGCCACTGAGAGCAGCAGAGAGATAATCTCTTCTATATAATTGGGGTCGGTACTTGTAGGGGAGATGTAAGGGTTCTAGTTGAAGAATAGAGACAGAGGCAGATATATATAAACAACCAAGGGCATGGTGAAGTGGCATATTCCCTATCATGAAAACATTTAATTTCTTCCCAAGTGATAAATCGTCACTATTCATCAGATATTGGCATTCAAATCGCTAAGCTTAGCGTCACAATATGGACTATTGAATTCAAAAATTAGCATTCACGAAGCTCCAGGCGATAGACATATGATTGAATGGCATCGAACATTGTGAATTGGTGGCACTCATGATAGCATGCTGAATCTCTCTTAAACTGAGCGATATATCGCTGGCCAGTTGAATCAACTGGGAAGATAGCTAAGATGTTCTCAACATAAGTAGATATCCTCAAGCGCTAGTCCGTATTAGGTGTAGCTCAGGCTTCTGTTGTGGGCTCTTGGCCAAGCACCACGCACGCTCATATTACTTCCCTCTCATCTGAATTACTCCGCACGCCTCTCCAACATTTCCACAGGATAACTAACCTCTCACCCTCCGCACCACCCAACAAACACTCGATAAGATATCTCGAGCAATATCCAAACTACGACAACTCAACACTCTCACACTCCTCCAACGGCCTCAGATTAAACGCCTTATATCCACCCTGCCAACTCAACCCGACTCTTTCGCGCGCAAACTGCCTCATCTCCTCCTCATACCTCGCAACAACATCCCCTCCGCCCACCTCTCTCGCCTCGACAATCCTCTCAACCAGCACCGCCGCATCCCTCAACGCCGTATTCACCCCCTGCCCACCCGTCGGTGGCATAACATGAACCGCATCCCCAAGCAGCGTGACCCTCGAATCCGTCTCCCAAGCCCGCAAATCCGGCCTCACAGACGCCATCCTCAGCGTTGAAGTCTGCTCAACATCCTGCTCCTCCAACAAAACCCTCACGGACGGATGCCAATCCCTCGACAACTCCAACGACAACCTCGCCGACTCCTCCCCATTCAACCTGAGAACCTTCTCATCCTCCATACCCACAAAATCCCGATGAACCAGCAACACCCAATACAAATAATCCTCCGGCAACTTAATCATCCCTCCAACATCACCCCTCGGCATCCTCATCGGCTCAAACAACAACGTCTTCGGCGCTTCCTCCCTCAAATCCTTCGCCAGCGACATCCCCCTCCTCGCCAACTCATTCAACCGCCCCTCCACATCCCCCGTGATCCCCGTCTTCCCATAAATCATCCTCATCCCCGTATCCACAAACGGATACCACGGCACAAGCTGCCTTCTAACCCGCGACCTCGCTCCATCCGCACCAACGAGCATCCCTCCCGTCGCTGAACTTCCATCCGCAAAATGCGCAACCACACAATCATCTCTCAATTCATACCGCTCAAACCGCTTCCCGAACTGCACATTCTCCTCCCCAAGACCCTGCAGTAGGACCTCGCGCATCGTCCCCCGATCCACAGTGTACGGTCTGGCTCCGTGGATCCCGAGCGGCGGTCCACCGCTACCAGCGGGGAGGGGTTCTCCAGTCAGTGCGTCGAGGCGGACACCTACGCCTGGAAGACCGTCGTCCAGGGCAGCAGTTTTCTCGAATAGGGACCATATTTCGGGGACGAGAAGGGTGCGGAGATTCTCTTGCATGACGCGTAGTCTGTAGCCTTGGGCACGGAAGTTTTGCTTTGCGTCTCGTTCGAAGACGGTGAATGGGATGTTGTGCTTGCGGAGGCCTTGGGCTAGAGCGAGGCCGCCCAGGCCGCCGCCGGCGATTAGGACGCGGTTGGACATGGTTGGGGGGTTTCAGGTCAGTAGTGATTGTAAATGTAGATGTAGATGAGCAGACATGTAGAGATAGAAAAAGTAGAGTATCGTATGGCTGGTCTATAGGTAGGTAGGTAGGTACATGAGGATCTATATACAGTAGGCATGGTTTAGCGTCGGTGGTTCATTGCGCCCGACTCGCCGATCAAGCGTAGACGGCGCTGTGGCTCCGATTGACCGTCTTACAGGGGCCGCGTTATCAGGTTCTGTTTAGGAGCTAGTATTCGATACATGGCATGACTCAAAGCTAAAGAGTTTCCATGGAGATTTGATGCAAGCAGAGTGGAGTATCCCGAGAGAAATCAACGCGAGATAGGTATATAGATACATGCTAAATCGCTCATATCACGCTAGGCCTTTGTAGGAGATTGAGGATCCGATCCACAGTATCAGGATGAAAGGATCTAAGGACGGGGATTCATCATAGTATTACAGTTAGTTTACCCCGAGGCAGTTTCAGAAGAAGTATTCGCCATCAGAGCTATCACCAGGCTGGATTTGTTCATGATGGCCTCTACCATGATGACCACCTCTCGGATGATGGCTTCTGATAGGGGGAGCTCTCTCCTGGGGACCTGCGTAGTGGTCGACTGCGTCGGTGAAATCAGGGACTGGAATGTGGATGTTGTTAGTGTTGTAGCTTGAATTTCGTGGGGTTGGCTGGGCGCTTACTGTAGCCTCTGACCATATGGCATCCGCTGTTTTCGTACAGGGATTCGGCTTTGTATAGCCTGTGATTTGGTTAGCATGGCTGAAAGGGGGACTGAAGAATCTGGTATATTACCTTTCGCTCATTGATTGCATTCGGTTGAATGCCTTTGATGACGTCGTTATTTGAATTGTCTAGTGATAGCTGAGATTTGGACTATCTCACCGATGGATGTGTGGACATGAACTCAGGCACACGAACTCTTTCAGTCTTGTGCATGTGGTTCCAGCTGAATCTTGTTAGCTCGAACAACAAAGATATATGCAGGTTGAGAGACTGTTTACTTACAAATCAACTACGGCACGGGGGTTGTAACAAGCCTTGGCCATTAGCACTATCAAGGATTAGTAGGACCTTACGAATGAATGACAAGCATGTCATACTCAGCCCGATGTTGTCTGCCTCAGCCTGTAACATGTTAGTTTATGTTTATTTAGCCAACGCCGTGAGTCAAATACCTCCTGCACCCGTGTGTTTGGCAAATTGACAGACCAATCCAACATCTGGGACGCGAAATGTCCGAGACCGCCAAGCAGATATACCAGCCCATAGGTCAGAATGACACTGGGAACAGAATGGCTCATACGTTCAGCCTGGTGATGGGCCAGCACATGAGCGATCTCATGGCCCAGCACCGCCGCAAGACCATCAGCATTTCCGCAAACCGGCAAGATGCCAGTATACACGAATACTTTTCCACTGTAGGATATATCCATCAGCCGAACCATCCCAAAAGTGTAATGTAAGAATTCCAAAGATAGTCGAATGCCTTACTTCGGAAGGACAAATGCGTTCTGCTCCGACATATCGTTGATAACGTGCACCTCCCATTTCGTGTCTTGGACGGGTGTATGAGCGATCAGCCGCTCGAAGACTCGGGTCACTTCTTCGGAGATATGATGCCACGGAGGTAGAATCAAGCCTTCAGCTCTGTTCATGATTGCATGGTATTCGTGGTCTCCCATCTGTTTCTCGAGCTCGTCGGATACGCAGTTGAATCGAGTGCGGCCGGTCAGCTAAGGACGAAGAACATTAGCTTTGCATATAGAATATGGCTATGAGCAACGCACCTCCACAGTCTCCAGATTATAGACATAAAAGCTTCCTCCGACGGCAATGAGTACGAGCCAGAGCTGCAAATGCTCGCCATCTTGGAGTCTGGGAAACTGCGGTTCTTCGAATCGATTATACTTCGCACGGCTGCGGGCGGACTCGGAGAAAAGCCGGGACTGCGATTGACGAGAAAAGTGTCTCGAAGGCGAGAAGACCGTCGAAGAGGTCCCACGAGTTCTTGACGACAGACGTCGGATCAGAGGTGTGGAGCGAGGAATGTGAGAGGGGATGCGGGTAGAGTGGAGGAGCGAGGGAGCCGTGACCGGCTGGGGCGATGCGCGGAAGAACGCGCGCACTATCGGGAGACGAAACATGACAGTCTCTTTCGCATGGTATGCGACAGGATATGAAGAAGAAGGAAGTCCAGCCCAGATGGCTGGAGGACTGCGAAAACAAAAGCCAGCATTTTTGCGCAGTCGTCGGTGACCTTAGCTGCATGCGATAGGTAAGCATCGGTCTCCGCGCTGGCCAATGAGCGGCGGGCAATTCCGGAGGCACAGCATGCGGCTGCAGGACCATGTGAATGAGTGAAGATAATAATAACTAAGGACTGAATGAGATGTAGCATTGCAGTAAGAACTTTCAGGACAAAGAGTAGTATATTATTATTTGTTGTGGTGACATCATCGCATCATTGCAGCACCGAACCGGGTCCAAAATATATACCATGGATTACCCTAACATAACGTCTCAGGTAGTAGTAGAAGAATCCACCATGAACTCTGGATGGATGACACCAACATTCACTTTGTAACTAGTGGTCACGTTGATAATGTGATTAAACAGTATACATTCTCGAGTATACAAGATATACATGTTAACAATAGCGATAAATTTAGCAACCATCTCATGGCAGATGCATCACCTGCCCAAGCATCAGCTAACCGCCGGAATCTGAGAGCCAACCTCATTCAGAATGAAAAAGCCAAGTCCAAGCTACTAAGCTAAACCTCCAGAGTCCGTCTGCATGCCATATCTCCAATCCAGTCCAAGTTAATAATAGCATCAACCACAGTTCTCAGGCACCCAAACGCCCTGACATCCAACGGCCGGAACAGCAACCGTAGAACTCAACAACAAACTCATAGCCAATAGTGACCACCACACTCTTCCATGATAAAACACTTCTCTTTCTACATGACACAATATACAGCCCAACTAATACCCACAACCACCAACTCACAACAGTTATTCTTAGAAAAGACCACCCCAAGAAAGACCACGACCCATCCAACCGGATCCCCCCAGCGCCTAACATCCATTCAATCCCGCCACAATCTGCCCACTGATCTATATGCTACATTGCCTGTAGCAAGTCCAATCCAGCCTTACCAGACACATCCAATACCAAAGAATTATCCCGGCGGCTACATGCAGAGCGTCAAAGTTGTGGATCTGATGAAATGGCTGTTCGGCAAGCGAGGCTGAAGCAATAGCGGCATCAAGTATGCAGGCTATTTCTGGAAACGAGATTAAGATCATCTATTAATTGATGAAGGTTTATCCCGAGGATGCTTATCCGGTAGTATAGTATGATCTCATGCATGCATCCTTAGATGTTAGTATGGAGTAAAGGAAGCAAGCTATTCTTAGATGCCATGCTATGCCATGCCTTACCCCTCATTTAGACGCCGGGGAGGGTCGACGGGGACATGGCGGCGGCTTCTATGTACATCTGATTTGAGTGGGTGTGTGTGTGATCTGATACTAGCAGAGAATATGATTGGAAGATGAACTGGGTTTCTATTTTGGGAGTTTACTACTTTCTTTCGTTCCATGCTACTAGGGTTGGATGGACAGAATTAGGAGATCTGGATCGGTTCCGGGCCGCTGGACGGTAGAACTGTAATGGAGGTGTTCTTTTCTTTTCTTTTCTTTGACTTTTAGATTGTTGATCCACTAGATTGTGCTTAACCGCCGGGTCTACTAACTTTTGGGGATTTGGTTTGCTGGATGATTGGTTGCTTTTTGTTGGTTTATCTATATTTATGTTGATTGTGAATATGGAACCCCGGTCAAGTTCATCCACGGTGTCATGCTTCGTTGCCAGAAATAGTATCATTTGGAGAACTGCAAGGGACTGTGGGGGTCTTGTGAGATGGGAGCACATGGCTGTTGAGAGTAGGGAATAGAAGAGTGATGATGCAACGAGGATGATAGCATTGTTGGGTGTTAGGTGGTTGAAGCAATTTGTTCCGTTTATGGCACTCGCTCTGAGATTGACTCGCATGCGTAGATAGAGCTAGGCTGCAAACATTCGAAAAACTTTCATAATTTTGTTACTAAATTCCTGCTATTTACTGATAACTCTACCTCACATGTGGCTAATTGTAAATCTATTCTCATCTGGGGTCTGGATCCAAAATCTAGAAAATCTTCTTTTGGACAGCGTGAGCCATTAGGTTATTCAAGTATATGCTAGATGTGCAATGTATAGTGTAGCCACTGCATATCGAGGTAAGCGTCTGTCAAGCGAGAACACCAGACAATCATGTTTGCGCTTTATTTGCCTCGCGCGGATCAATAGAGCCAGGTCTCTGTTAGTTAGCGAGATCCATCGCTAAGGTAGAACCAAAGCAATGCACAATTTGACGCCACCACCCAACAAATTCAGCAGCGGCAATGAGGAGCAGACTAAATCTCCCAAACAGGAAACTCTACGAATCCAGGTAGTTTGGCGTCACGCCAAGATTTGAAAAAAGCAAGCACAGCAACAGCCGTGGAACCCCACTTGGAGGGCACAACTAATTCCAGCGCACAGAGTGGATTGTTAACGGTGTATAACTGCTTCTCGGAGATATTCGATGAAATGACCCTAATTTGCCGACGACACGAAAAGCGCGGTGAGTGAACATACTAACCCAACTGAGAAAGAGAGACGTAGCCCAGGTGACTCGGTGTGATAACTGCACAGACTGCATGCCAGGCACGCTGCAAGCACCTGACTTGCCGGGGTTGGGTTGGCTTTGGGACCATGCAGTGATCTGCATCGGGGAAGCACACCAGCTGGAGAATTGGCGCTGTTCGCAAGTTCCTGCGCTTGCGTTGCAGTAAATTGCGCACGTAAATTGGCGAGCAGCAAAAAGGACATTCCTAGCGTAAACGTGAATATTGAACAGGGGGGATGCATAAATTTGGATGTTAGTAAAGGTATGGTGATGATCTCATAGATTTAGGATAGAGGGGTACAAGCACTAGTACTCTGTATTAGCATCGAGTCGACTCGAGGGATTGCAACGGGGGTGGCACGTCCTCGATCATTGGCGTGCCGCTCGTAAAAGCCGGCGCCAAGTGATTATACGACTGGGAGCTTTGATTTGTTGAGAGAGACTTTGATGGCCGGGAAAAAGGGACGCTAAACGCTAGCCTGCAGCTGCAGGAATGTGATAAGAAATGGCAGGCGCGCATCGTGATAATCAAGCTAGCACGGGAGTCGGTGGCCGTAACTCGCTTCCGACATCTGCCCACTCGGTCTGTGCTGATCGAGTCTGTCAGATGGAGGTGTGCATCGAATTCACTTCTCAAGAAGGAGAGAATGAAGCTGTCATGGCTAGCATGGTAGAGATATTCATTTTGCCGATAGACGCGTCTTCGGTATACTGAGTATTAGGCGAACGCTGTTTTTGACTGATACAATACAATGGGCGCAGATTTCTAGCAACAGCGCACGTTCGTTGCCGAATGTGACAAGAGGTGTGACTGGGAAGCATGGTTGCAGAGGCAGCCAAAGTTAAATTGTTAGCGCCCAGTTGAATGATTGCTCTCCACTCTTAGTCCCGCTGTCAGATCTTCGCGCGGACCAAGGATCATGGGACGGTCCAGGACCGAGTCATGGCCTTGCCTAATTATTCCGACCACAAGCTAATTATGGCCGAGCTGGTTGTGGATAATCCGACAGAAAGAGTGGACGATAAGAATAGTCTTTCATTTAGCGCTGGGAACTGAGGGGATTGCTTCTATGGGCGGTTAAAATGAACAATAATAACAAAAACCCAATACAGACAGCCAACCACATCCAGTCAAGCAGGGTCTTGGCCTGGATCGCGAGGTTAGTGGCATCTGGTCACATCTTGGCAGAGGGATACCACTGGTTGGCACTGGTTGCACGGGGCACTTCAGGCCCGACCCACTGCAGCCCGGTTGGCTGCGGGTTTCCCGCTCTGCAAGCAACCATGTCGGGGGCGGCCAATCCCCGGCCAGTAAGGGAAGCTTGGCTCATCCGCACTAAATTAGCTATTGTTTACTACTGTAGGTGCTGGACTGCCACTTGCGACTGAATCCCCGCATTGCATTTGACTCTTGACGAGCTCACCACCACCCACTTGCCGCCCGGCACACTGATTGGCACCGATGGCACAAGACCCTTGTTCACCAGACAGGGTTGGAATCCCACCTCCCTCGAGCACCTCCTGCCAGTCCGCATTAGCCGGTTGGGTTGGCAATGTGCCTGGCATTTTGCTCTCCTCCCCCACTCTCCTCAACGGCTGTACTCCCCTCCCCCATGTAGTCGTCCATTCTGCTCCTCTGTCTCCTCCATCAGCGTACCTACTAAGACGGTGGATACTGATTATGCATTTTCCAGATCGGGTGAAAGTCACTCCCACTACGAAGTAGTACCACGACCGAGTACATCCATCATGCATTGCTTGCGTGACTAAGACCTGCGATTGGCCGACGGTGTTACTTGGTTATCATTTCCACCTCCCGGATTGCGCGACGGGTACCACTTACTCAGTTACCATTGTACCATTGTCTCCGTAGCCATGAGTGAGGTCTTTCTGCAGCATTGCAGAAATACTGTAGCACCCGAGTGCAGCACTCCGAGGTGGTACTCGAATCCTTGGGTCACCAGGATTGACTGGACGATCGTGGTACAGATGATCCCTCTAGAGGCAGATATCGCGATAGAGGGACCAAAAAAAGAAACAGAGAAGGCCAATGAACCTCAGCCCGTCCACCGATCTGCCCCGTGCGAGATTGGTCTTTGGGCAGGCAATTGCGATAGCTTCCATGCCAATCAATTCCCCAGCCGTACAGTGCTCTCTCCCGGCCGTATCCAATCAGTGGCACGGATAGGCTGCATACGCGCCAGGTTGAAGAGCGCGAAAACAAAAAGTGTAAAATGCGCTCGCAAATCTCCAAAATTAGCCCAGGCTGACTAGCAGTTCCTTGTCCGTGCATGAAGGGATCCCCACTTGCTCTCAGGGATTGCTCTCTTTCCCTCCCCCCCGCCGCCAATCCTTCGCCGGCTTTCCCACCACCACAATTTCCCCGATCCTGTTCGACCTGCACTCGGCTGTCGGCCAGGATCTAAAATAGAAACATCATGGCCTGTCTGTCAGAGCTCAACCCACGTTTTAAAGCTTCTTCGATCCCCGCTGTCATGCTCGAATCTGGAATCACTGTCACCAAGCGTTGTTATCTCCCTCCCGCCTCATCCTCCGCCACCGCGCCTTTCGTTCTCTTCTTCTACTTAATTAGATAGCAAAGGCTGCCGGTTCAGCTTTGCCCCCTCCTTAATACTCCTGATACCCATTCATCAGCTCGCCAGACGACTGTGTCCTGTCTCTTTCGACGACTTTATCCTGCATATCTATCGGTGTTTTTATATCTATCCCTGCTTAAGTACGATATCATATTTCGACATCAAAATGCCTGCCGCAGCAAAGAAGAGGTCGACTCCCGTCCGGATCTCGCCAGTCAAGTCCGAAGAGTGTTCGCAGTCACCGTCAGCCAGTGAGGGTACCTCCACGGGGTCTACAGACAAGAACCAGCTCAAGTTACACAAGCGATCTCGCTCAGGTATGTTATATCATTGACAGTTACTTTGACCCTTAGTGGATCTAACCAACACTTTCCCCCCCGAAATAGGTTGCTTCACATGCCGCCTGCGCCGAAAGAAGTGTGATGAGAAGCATCCCTCCTGCGGAGCCTGTGTAAATCTGTGTGTGAAATGCGAATACAAGCGCCCTATCTGGTGGGGAAACGCAGAGCAACGGAGGATCCAGAAGGAGCGCATCAAGAACAAGATCAAGCAGACTAAGATGCATGAGCGCAATGGGGCTCTGACAGGTATGTATTTGCTATTGGGACATAATCGTTTCCCCCTCTGACAGGCTATCGTGCTGCACTTAGATTCTGCCGCTCGTACTCGCAGCATGGCTGTACCTTCCCCAACTTCTCCGGAATACGAATTCGGTCGCCCTGCCTTTCCAGAGCAGTACGATATCTTCGCTTCACACCTTCCCACCCCGGCCATGAACCAGCCCATCTATGCCCCGACCCACCCCTATGAGATCGATGTGAAGACCGAAAGACATACCTTTGTCAATGATGTCCCCTTGCGCCACGACTCATGCAGCTCGACCTTCAGCACCTTCGCTCCACCGCAGTTGAATGCCCCGCTACCGACCTTCCCCAGTGAAGACTGGTTCCACGACGAGTACTTCGCTCAAGTGCCTGCCCTGCCTGGAATCGACCCGGCGCTGTGTGAACAGAGTATCGGCCAGACGTACGCCATGCTTCAGTCCAATATCCCTGTTAGCGACCATGACCGGCCACTCCTCGACCACTTCATTCACAATGTCTTGCGCATTATCTTTCCCGTCTTGGAGGCACACCAGCGTGGACACCTCCGAGCCCAGGCCATCCTGCAAGCTTTAGAGACGAACAAGTGCTACCTCCACTGCTGTCTGAGTGTTGCCGCCATCCACCTCAAGACTACGGAAGGACTCGTTGGGGAACAGATCGACCACGACATCATGCGCAATCGCTTCGAGGCTGTTTCGCAATTGTGCCTGGCATTGGGCGAAGACACCAACCACGAGGAGATCCTGGATGCGACGCTAGCCATGATCTTCTTCCACTGCTCCGTGGGACCGGCCGATGATTACCTACCGGATATTCCGTGGTTCGAGCACTTCCAGGCTGCCTCCAACCTTGTGCATCGGCTTGGGCTTCCGACGGCCGTTCCCGCCTGCGGAAACCCGTACATGCTACCCCCCTTCACCATGACTCTGGCATCGTGGATTGACATTCTAGGATCGACCATGCACGGCAAGACTCCGGAATTCGCACACACGTACCGTGCCAAGCACCTAAGCGGCTCGTCTCTGGGGCTCCGCGAGCTCATGGGCTGCGACGACCGCGTCATGTACCTGATTTCGGAGATCACCTGTCTGGACGCACTTAAGAGAGACGGTAGAATCGATGAGATGGGCGTGTGTTCGCATGTCTCGGCTCTGGGACAGCAACTAGAGTTCACCGAACCCGTTAATCAGACGCTCGAAAGCCCATTCTTACCGAACGGAGCCTTTTCTCCCGAGATCCTCACCAAGAACATCACGGCCGCTTTCCGCCTCGCCGCAAGAATCTACTTGTGCAGTCTGGTCCCGGGGTTTGACCGAAACCAACCGAGCACCGTCAATCTGGTCGCCGCTGTTGCCAATGTTCTCTATGTTATCCCTTCGGGCCCCGAAGGCTTCGATCGCTCGCTCGTTTGGCCGATTCTGATCGCCGGAGCATACTCAGCACCCGATAGCCACTTCCGCACCGTCCTCGCCGATCGAGCTGCTGCTCTTGGCGAGCATGCCGAACTCGGTAGCTTTGGCCGTATGTACCGCGTCCTGAAGGAGGTATGGCGTGTGTCTGATGAGTCCATCGAACCCATCGAGCCGGTTGAGACCGTCGAACCTGTCGAATCCGCTTCTGCCCCGGAAGAGCGACGGTCCTCATCCGCCTCCTCATGCTCCGATGCGCCTGTGAAGGCCGAAGGCTCTGAGTCTCCCAAGGAGAGCCTCGTGCCATGGGGAGCGAAGGAGATGAAAAAGCCATTCCTACACTGGCGGGAGATCATGCAACAGAATGGCTGGGACTACCTTCTTCTCTAACTTTTGTGTTTTTGTTTCCCCGATTGCATTTTATGCGCATCTGTTAATATCCCTTGAAGGGACCGATCATACAAGCTGGCTTGGATATTGCATAACCAACCTGGAGACTCGCGGATCTGGTCCTACCAGGGCGACAAGCACGAAACAATTCGAACAGGCAACACGACTGGACATCGTCCTGGGGTTCCTTCCTGAGGAGGCCCTTCTGCCTGTTTGCAATGATGTTTTTCACTTTTCCGGCAAAAGTCCAGACCTTATAGACACTAATGGTTCGGACCAGAACTTTTGGCTCTCCGTTTTATTCTTTCGCTACGATATACCCGGCTGTCTCGTATCCGCAGGCCGGAGCGATGACATGCCATGTCCTTTCTCATGAGGTGGAGCGGGAATAACCGCACGGCGCTGACAGTCATATCCCATACCCCTTGGCCGGCGCATTGGAGCAGGAGTTTGGTTGTTTTCGCATGACAAATATTACAAACCCATATATGTTGATGTCCTCATGTTTTGGTATGATTTATTGATTGCATGTGTTGCTGATACATTGTATCTTGCTTTATTTGGGATTGGTTAGTTGTATGATCAGATCATATGTCTTGGTTCGAAAACAAAAATGGTCACTCCTTATACCCCAGATGATTCAGTCATAAGCCTGATTTTATAGTAAATGCTGCCTCAGATACGCAGCGCGAGCTCTGGCCAGACGGGCCAAAGGAGTTCTTGTCTCTTCTCCTCAGACATGATGGCGCTGCGACGTGCTCTTTGTCGCTTCATGGAAGGACCCTTACTCATTTGACAGTCCCTTCAGCTCACTCCGTCTACAGTACGCAACATCCCCCTAGGTATGAAGCCTAAGATACGATAATTTGACAAATAAAGCATGGGTCTATCATCATAACTTTATTGGAAGTTGAACTGATCCAAGAAGCAAAAACAACCGACGAGCATACATCTTGCACGTGACTTGCACTGGTTGGGGATCGCCAGTCCCCTGATGCGCTGGCTCTTGAATCCATAGAATCAATTGATACCCACTATCCAGAGGGCATCTACCTCCGCAAATACCACCCACTATCCGAGGATAATCTCCCCCCTCAACGTCAACGAATTCGCTGGTACCGCGATCTCACTCATGCACTATGCCATATCCACGGCCTTGGCGTCGTGCACGCAGATGTCCGGATGGACAGTATTTCTCTAGATGACCACAACCGTGTGATTCTCTCTGACTTTGGCGCTTCCAGCCCTATTGGTGCGCCAAATGATGTTTCTCCGATAAATGGCCCTTCGCCGACGTTATCTGAGAAAACAGATATATTCGCCATGGGGTCGTTGATATATCAAATGGAACATGGCGTCAATCCTGAACTGTCTGTGGACAGCCATGGTACGTTAGTCTTGCCGAGTATACACACCGGCCGGCCTATGCTTGATAGTATTATTCGAGATGCCTGGCTGGAGGGTTATGGACGTACTGTGGAGATGTTGCAGCGAATTGAGGCTATTGATACTATCGGTGATGGTGATTTTGCTCAGGGTCTTCAAGGTCAATGTACTATCTCAACAAGAGAACTGAGAAGTCGTGTGCGGGAATGGAGGGAGGGTCGTGAGGATAGATTTGGTAAGTAGTATATTACCCTTGCGATGTCTTATGTGTTTGACTCTTAGCTAATGAATATGCATCTATAGGCAGTGTTCTCGATGGTGTACTCTCCGAAGACCATTTACAGAGCCTAGCTGACCGGTATGGATTGGATAGAGGTGCAGGGTTACGCTTTTGATCATCGAGATATACTCTTGTAGATAAGGTAATAGTAAATACGTATCTCACTATAAGTCATGGTTCAATAGTCTAAGGGCTTAGACGTACAATGCAAGAGAATAAGCCCCAATGAGTCAATCCAGTTTTCTCCTCTCTTTGCCCTTTGCCCTCTCGCCTTTCGAAAATCGCCGAGAGTAGTAGTCTTTTCCTCCACTCAACCACCACCTTTCAACCCTACCAGAACGTGGATCTAGGGTGTTGAGATGACTAGAGGGCTTAATCTTCCTTAGCTGTCTAGTGCACGCAACTCGGTTTGACAGTCAAGAGAGGGTCGATAGACCAGAGCGTTAGGCGGCGACGTCTGTCAAGGTAGGTAATATCTCTGTTGTACTTACTTATCAGTTGTGGTGGGCTGTTCAGCTGACGGGATGAAAAATATTTCGAGAGCTGCGCGTGATTTGGGGATTGACTTGTGAGGGGAGTGTGCACGACTTGACATGACAATATGAGGAAGGAAGCTGATTATTAGCCTTGATTAATTGAGGGGATATTGTATGCCTTTCATTGTGTCCGTCTCTTGGAACTGGTTCTTGATTTGTAGATAGAATGCGAGCAGAGAATTAGTGGCATCGCTTTATTGCGTGTAATAATTGTATGCTCAACTGGATAGTAATCCATTGCCAGTAGTGAGAGGGAAAGGAAACGTGAGCAATCAAGTACTGGGTTCGCCTTCAATCAGAATACATTGAGAAACGACTGATTCTGACTTCTACGGTGCTCACTCCTGGCGGGGCAAGGGTATCAGATCGCTATAATCCTCTGCAGCATGAGACATCTGGGTCAGGGCAGCCATGTCCCTACTTACTAAGGTTCTAGCCACGGCGCTTGATGAGTGTGCGCATGTGGTGCGTTGAGAATTTGGCATGACTTGATGGTTTGGTTACCACTTGATTTGTTTACCACTGGTTCAAGTCATTAGTATATGTTAGTTCGGTTATTGATAGGCAAGCTGGAGGACTAGGAGGCAGCGTAGGTGGCAGGCTTGTGATCTCGGTTGTCGATGCTGTTGTTGATTGGTGAATGTTACATCACAGATGTGGTGTATATGGTGGAGGAGCCTTCCTAGCACACGAGGAAATATCTAGACGTTGACCTACGGCTCCTCCGGTGAGTCAATGAAAGATGAGGGGAATGGATCTATGTGGGTATCCTTGTAAGTCTTTGACAGGCTGTCGACAATTCTGCTCGTTGCGGGGCATGAAGTAAGCGCTGTGGGTGATAACTGCAGTCTGAGCGACCCCATTTCGAATGCCTTTCTGCAACTTTACCATGCGGGCACTCGAGTGTGTGACACTACATCCCACGGAAGTCAAGAAACAGAGACGCTGTGGCGTAACCGACAATGGTGATCGCGCTTCCGTGCTCTGATCCTCTGCACCGTAAGTGTTGGGCCAAAGCTCTGGCGCTGTTCGTTACCAGTAGACTATACCTTTACCCACACAACCAACAGCAGGACTCCCTCCGTCGTTGTAAGGAGCCCTTTCATCGGTCTGTAAGCCCAGGATAGTAGTCCAACTCAAAAGCTATCAACGTGTCGGCTACTAATATCGTGCCGTTTCTGGGCCGGCTTGCGATGTAGTTACTACAATCCCGCGCCGTTGGATGCACAGAGCGTCTGAGCATAAAGAGGGGTTCACACGCAGCCATGTGCATCAGCTACCCTTAGCCAACCGATCGTGTCGATGGCAAGCCGGGTTCTGCAAGTGCTGGTGTGACATGGCCGCAGGAACGCCAAGGTGTGGTAGTAGCAACATTGCAGGCAAGTCGAGATCAGTCACAAACCCCGCGCCTGCAACCCGCTATCCCATGGCAACGAGGACCCTCAACAGTCGGATGGGCCCGCTGATTCGTAGAAGGGTGAAGAGACGTGAAGACACCAGCATGACTTGCAGCCGCCCGATAAATTAAGTGCCGACAAAATAAGGTAGAGAGACAAGCAGCATCGGTAGATTGGCCCAGCTGCCAGAGTAGAGTAACAATGGAATTGAAGGATGCAACAAGCAGCGCTAATCACAGCACGCAATAGGCCTTCTGAAGCCATGGCTTGTGCAGAAGTTGGGGTTGCGGATGGGCGAGCCGCCCTCTTGCCGGAAGGTGGGCTTGCGCATTAACGCTGAGCGAACCAGGAGGGGCCAACGCACATCTTCGAGCCGGAGAGATCGTGAGGAGTCATGAATCCAGCGCCGTCCCGGCGATAAGGACATGTTGTATATGCAGGATGCATTTGTGTTTGGGAACATTGACAGGGTAATGGAGACTTTGACTCGAGGAACCAGGCGCGAAACTTCCTGGAGGATTCGCGGCTTGTTGGATTGTTGGATTCCCGCTGTGGACAGACGGATATATCCTTGAGGAAAGATATAAGAAGGAGGAAGTCGACGAAGTTCAATATCCATCCAAACAGCAGCAGCAGCAGCAGCAGCAGCACTTCACTTTCCTTCTCTACTCCTTCATATTGATCACTGCCGGACAAGCAGGCACGGCAAGCGCCTTACCCGATCCCCTCATCCACATCCTGACACTCCACACACCCTCAGCTCTGCCGTGCTCCTGGCGGCCAAAGATCGCCACCATCCGACTCGGTGCTTTTGGAGAGAAGGCGAGGCTTTGGCGCCGAGTTGCTGAAAGGAGCTGAGCGTTTAGCCTGCTTTGGGGTTAGCGTGTCACACGGTATCTTACTGTCTGGTAACTTTACCGTGTCAGACCGCAATACCCGTACCGTACAGGAAATCCGTCTGCCTTTGCGTCGGCGTCAACTCGAGATAAATAATCTTCCTCCACTTCCCTCCCTCTACTTTTTCTCTCCTTTTTCTCCTTGCGCGCTAGAGCAGCCGAAGGGTCTTCCACCTGTCCTTACTATATAGCTTCGTGCTTGCTGTCATCCTGGTGGACGATACCTGCCCTACCTTCCAAGTCCCTTGCTGCCTCAGGCTTGCCGCTGCCTACATCTGCCTCTGCTATACTATACCACGCTTCCCTTCTACTGCCACGCACAACGTGACCAGCTCAGGCGCGACCTTGTGATTCACCAGTCATCTGCTGTGAACGTGTCATATATAAACCGTCTACCTCGTGCAATCTTCTCATACACCACCTCAGATCTACTGTCAAAATGCCTGCCAAACCAATTCTTCATCCGTTGCGGACGCCCAAGAACATGACGTTCCCCTCGGAACTACAACCAGACAATGGAGTAAGGCTAGGTGCTCCAGGAAAGCAACAAGATGAGAGTCTCTCAACACCTATCACACCTCCCGCTGCATACACCGAATTCCTCAAATCATTCACGCCGGTCTTCACCCCGGATGGCAACGGAGGTACCGTCACCCGCTTCGTCTGGGACAAGGCCAACAAGACCCCCACATCCCAACCAGCCAGCGCAGTCAGTGGTTCATTCAGCTTCCCCGAACCAACCAGACCAGCTACAGCAACATTACCCCCTCCGTCACCCTATGGAAGTGCACCACACGGTCGTGACATGATGAGTCTGCGTCGCTTGCGCATCCCGCCGCCAATGCGGTATTCCCCTACGCTGGAGACGCCGCGCAGTGCAACGACGCCCGTCCTATCACCGTACTCTTACTCGTACTCCCCGGCCGATTGGAAGATGCGCTACTGGGATGGCCCCCGGAGTGCAACGGTGGGGAGAGTCAGCGTGCGTCATGTTGTCACTCACACGGTGACGTATAAGCGGACGCAACTTGAGGATCCGCCCAAGGGGAAACGGAGAAAGCATAACGAGACCAAGCAGGAGGAGGAGGAAGAAGAAGATTCCTAAACAGGATGGATTTTAGTTCGTTCGACTCACGATTTCCTTTTTACTGTTGTTTTCTCTATGGTCATGGTACTAGCGCAGGGTCCGGCGTTAGGAGTTAGGAGGTGGGGAGGGAAGAAGCAAGCGAGACATTTTATTATCAGTTTTGTTCGGAGCAAGCAGTGCGATTTGAAATTCATTTTCTTCCTCACTTCAATCAACTACTTCATGTGATCGATCAGTAAGCCATGTAGCATTGCTAGTAGGCAAGTAAGGAATGGTAAACTAGTACTTACAGGGTTGATTCATGTGTATGCGTTGGCAATATACTAAGCAGGGTATATACGCCCAGCAGAGGCTCGACCACGACCACAACGGAGTACTATGATCCCCACCATTGACATCTATCGATTTCAATCCCAATTCCAATATTCTATTCCTATTCTAATTCAACCCAGTTCCTCGCGCTTCTGACCAGAGCCTCACATTGAACAATCGAGCCCAACCCCTCTCTTCTCTCCCATAACCCCTCATTCAATGCACTCCCAGTCCCCAAACCAATCTCCCAGCATACGATCTGATGTATAGACACCTATATACAACGCACAGACAGAGAAGACAGTTAACCCAACGAACCCCTCTTTTCTTCCTCCCACTCAATTATACTGCTAAATAATGAAGTAACCCCTCCAATTCCACCACGTGTAACCCAGACCCATCTACCCTACCCACTGGAATCACAATACTAAGCGATAGCTCCACTAAAACCTACGCACCGTCCGAGCTGATAGGAAAAGGCTGAGATGCGCGGTGCTGCGCCGCATTGAATTTTCTTCCCTTGTCTATCGGGATTGGGCTACTGGGTTTGGTTGGGTTGATTTGTACCCGGGGATGTGGTAACGGGGATGATTGGTGTGGGTTGGGTTGGGTTTGGTGGTCGGAGAGTTACTAGTTAGTTAGTTAGGCTTTGGGCTAAGGGGGCAGGGAGGGTTTGGCGCGGTGAGGGTGGTGGTTGGTGAGTGCACAGGCGCGGTGTGGATTTAGCTGGAGGGGTAATTAGTAGTACTAGAGTGTAGAGGATATTGGGATTGTAGTTATAGAATGTGGTGTTGTAGAGAGGGATTGTTGGGTAGATGGTAGTAACTAGCTATGCTATGTGGTATGTATGTATGTAAATAGTGGGGGTAATTGAGCTGGGAAGGGTGTAGATGTAGATGTGAATGTGTGATTTGACTTCACGTAAATAGAAACCTTTGATAGAATTTGTATACCATCACCATCACAGTAGTAATACTTCATAAGGATTGATGTAGAACGAAGTAACTGACAGACAGACAGACAGACAGAGTCATAGAAATAAATTACACAGTTACTACCACCGTAACAAGCCCTACGTAACGCACCACCACCCATAATACCAATACCATACAATACCAACCAAACCCATCATCTATCTTCCTGGCGGCAACAACAACCCTACATCCTACCCTCACTCCCTCACTCCCTCCTAACACAGTAATCAATCTCAAGTACCTACGACAAGGTTACTTACTCCTAGTATGCATTCCATCGCTTATCCCCAACGAATCACAACGATGTGAACAGCCTGCTGTGATCTAGGACGGGTGCATCTCGACCCATGATTGGATGACAAGGCGCGCTCTTTGTTTCATCTTGTTGCTGAAGAATTGCGGGTCGGGGTGATTGGCCTGCTTTTGATGTGCTAGTGGGGAACCGAGGATGGGATGGGGGCAGTGATGGACGGAGGTGATTACTTTCTAGGTAATAGGGTCGGTAGTTATTTACTTTGGTTCTAGGGGGTGTTCGAAGGGCTTCTAGATTGATTGATTGGGTTGGGGGTTTAGTGGGATTATACTAGTACCCTGTTCGGGGTAAGATTATAGGGTAGGGGATTGTTGGTTGTGGCAATAGTAGAGAGATAGTAGCTGAATACCTGGTAGGTATACACTGTAACTGTGAGTCGAGTTCACTTCAGCCTCATGACTCTTCTTCTGTGGACACTTGGGAGGAAGTAGTAGTCACTGCAGACTGCGACTTCATTGCACAGACCGTATAGACAGACATAGACACACACACATCCGGCGCGTCCGCGTCCAGCCAGCAGAGTGTCTGTCTTCTCCGCTTCAATTGATTTGATACAGAGATAAAGTGGCCGCTGCAGTTAAGCGCCGGCACTAAGCCCGATGGGGCCGCAGTGGATCTTCCCCTCTTCTGTTTGTTGATATTATTGGTGGGATGGTATAAGAGGGATGTGTGGGGGATGGAGAAGACGTGTGGATAGTAAATACTAGTAGTCAGTAGTAAGATACTACTCTGTAATAGTAGTGAGACGAATTAATGTCCTATTTTTGGATGTTTCCCTCTGCTAATACTGCATACTGCATACTGTGTACTCTCTACTCTACGTTTGATTGGAAAAACAAGATTCTTCTGGTCACTAAGCGGTTATGTCATCTGCTTACTTGCACACACGGCAATCCCATCACCAAACCTAATGCACCTGGACGCCATTTCATCACATCTCAACGCCCAGTCATTTTGCCGCCGGGATCTCAGCCGCTCGGAGGATCACCCATTCTCTCGCTGGAATCCTTCTAGTCAGTCATTAGTCAGTTAGTCCATCGTTGCATGCTTCCCAGAAAAGTAACGAGGGGCCGGCACTATTACTACCCTCGGCGCTAAAGTAAACACTTCCTGGTCATGCCGTCCCTCCATCTATTCGACCCAATCCTGGCGCTTCTGAACCCTTCCATCCTGGTCGATCAGTTGGTCGGCCCCCTGTTAGGAGGGATAGCGCTGTGGATTCCGGACAGATGGTAGGTTAGTTGCTGTGGATACTCCCTTGATTCGTTCAATCACAGGCTGTCTGTTAAGCGCCGACGGAGAGACGGGATCGAATCCTCGCGTGTGAGCAAGTGTCTGGAGGGGTATTTCTATTTTCATCACAGCAGGGAAGTTATTTCTGGTAACGCCAGGGTCTACTGGACTAGTCCTAGCCCTCCGCGATCTGATTGGCCTTGGGGTCCTGGTGCAGGTGTACCCTGCTCGGTGCTTATGTATTGCTATTTCTGGGACCTCATGGGGATATTTTTGGTAACGAGCACGACGGTGTTGGATGCAACGGATGCGATGGATATATGTATTGTTGAGCATCCAAGATGAAGTTGATGATGGAGATGGACTCTCTTGTTGCTCGCATGCTATGTTGTCCTCTTAATACCGGTCTCCTACCTACATGGTAGAAGTTGAGTTCAATGGAGCAAAGTGTCTGTGGACACAGCCAAGCCCCTCACACTCCGTCCGAATTGCCCCTCGGAGCTGTTCCTGAGAGGCTTGATTTGACTGGTTGAGACTATCCAGTATCGCCCAGACCAGTAGCTATTCCGCACATCTTGTGCAGACTCTAGTCAGACTAGTACGTTGCTCACATAGGCAGAAAGTGTCCTGTCAAATCAGATACTGATACTTGCATAGTCGTCCCATCCTCACGAGGGGTAACCCATCTGGCACCAGAACTGAGTCAGTTAGTTGGTCGTCTACCTAACTAAACCAGATTTCCAGCGGTTAACAAGGTTATGCCGCCCCTGTGACAAAGGATGCATGATTCCCGCTCGCTGCAGCAGTGGATTGACGACGCTCCCCTCCTTGATGCTGCGCTGTCAGCCAATCAATGGTGCGGAGTGGCCTCCAGTAGTGATGAATATAGCAACAACGCTGCGTGGCTGTCAGGTTCTTATACAACCTTAAGCGCAATTCCCCTGCATGACGACTGTTCTTCATCACTCGGTGAGCGGGTCATGGGGCAATAACCACAGCTGGTGTCCAAGGAAGGGTGACTCGACCCCGCGTATTGTCGCCCATGTGGTGATCCAGCGCTTGGGTATGATACGGTTTGGTACGACTGGTTTTACAAGAAATGAAGGGAGACAAAAAAACAGGAAAAAAGGAAAAAAGAAAGAAAGAAAAAGAAATAGAGACAAGTGGATGGGGGTGAAGTCACTGTTGGTTCAGTGGGTGATGGTGATAGGCGTCTAATAAACCACTGTGCCACCATCACGGCGGCAATGAAGGACTACATCTAGACCAGTGTCCGCACATGAATTCCTAGCACTTTGTTGGGTAGTGCTAGACAGGTCCTCTTTCCTGCCTGTGATTGTCTTCCCTTTGTCCTCACTAACTAGTTGGTGAGATTGACATCATCAGTGGTTTGCTCATCAACCATGGGATCTAGTGTTCTGGCAGGCTGACTGACGGGCAACCGAACCATGGAATTCGGCCGAAGAGGGGACGCCTGACGGAGCCAACCATGGTAGGGCGGGGGGGATTCTTTAGGGTTCTGGAACTGAGAGTGAGAGAGTCTAGTGAGGGAGAGAGTGGAAAGAAGCTGATTGAGACAGTAGGGAAAGATGCTGACCGATGCGGTGTGATGCCAAGAGGCTATATTTAGAAGCGGCGAAAGAAGAAGCAGCAAAAGAAGAGGAAGACGAGCAGAAGAAGCCGAAGAAGAAGAAGTGCTCGTGGATGCCCCTCTCACTCTCTTTTTCTCCATTCTTACTCCTCTTCTTCTTCTCCTTCTTCTATCTTCTTTTCTCTCCCTCTCCATCTTCTCATCTCGACATCATCATTCAAGGCTTTCGAGGAAGATACTAACTAAGCTTCCACCCCCACTGCAACTGAACTTCCCGACTAACTAATATAATCATATTGATTAATATTAATATTGTTGTTATGCATCGAATTGCCTGATGCGGTGATCCCCTCTTATCCCGTGATCTGCGCGCGCCGTTTCCTTCCCAACCCTTTCCAGCGCCTCTCCAATTATTATTCTTTTCTATTTTCCTCCATATGCATCCTCGGCCATCTTATCTGCTAGTGTCTTGCGCTACTTGCTCCATCTCCTCCTCTTCCTGATATCCGAATTCGAATCCCCTCGATCTTCCTCTCCTGTCTCTCTCTCCCTCTCTTCCTCTTCCTCTAAAAGCCCCCTTCTCTCCCTCCCCCTTATCTATCCCGTCTGACCGCCCTCTTGCCATGGCTCACTCGCTCCCTACGCCTTTCACCCCAAACAGTGACTTTGCTGCCCTCGACTCCCACCGCTTCTCCACGGGTCCCATCACTATCACCGCCCTGGCCCGCTTCGAGTTCGAGGCGGGCAAAGCCAACGATGGCACCAAAATCATGATGATCGAGTGGGAGGACGACGCTATAGCTCGCTCCTCCTCCTTCCCCGGGGGTTCCTGGCATGTTGCCTGGGAGGGTAAAACCGCCGTTCTCCCTGCCGATGAGAAGACGAGCGACAACACCCGTCGAATGTACTTTCTACTGCCGCCACACGTTACTATCCCTCCCACCGTCACCCTGTCATACGAGCCCCCGGCTCACGCGCCCCCGTCCGCCAAGAATCCCGAGCCCATGCAATTGAACCCGCTGCCAGCGATATTTCCTCCAGAGCTCGGTGCTGATGGTCGCTCGGCGGGCAAGAAGGGCGTGCTACACACAATATGGGCGAAGAAGCGGCTGCAGGTGCTGGAAAAGGAGATTCGGGATGAATGTCTGAACAATGCTGAGGGGATTGCGCTGCACATGGCTCTGCAGGAGAAGGAATGGATCGAGTCCAACTTTGGTGTGTCGCTGTCTCCTGACGGGCCCAAGGTGGTCGGGCAGAGTCATCCAGATCCGCATTACCCTATGGGGCCTGCGACGCCAGTATCACCCAGCAGTGGAGGCAAGCTGGGCGAGAAGCTCAAGGGGCTGAAGCTGCAGACGAGCGAGCGGGAATTGTCTCCGAAGGAGGGTGCGTATATACCTAATATCAGAGACTAGAATAATGCTAACAAGCTATGATCAGCCTCAGCGCGACATCTACTATCCCCGCAGTCCCCCGACGTGGCCGTCTCCTCGTTCAACTCCTTCCACAGTATACATCGCCCGACGCGCAGTCCTGCGCCCGCAGCGCCAGAAGCCCTACGAACGGTGGTGCACTACCCACCGGAGTCAGTACAGGCACAGCAGAATGTCGAACACCACACGGGATTCGCATCGATGGGAGGGATGGCGCGCACAGCGAGCGCCGACTCAGGCGAGGAACTATTCGCAAAAGCACTGAGCCCGCGGACGCCAGACCTGCCGCGGAGTCCATTTTCATTCCGACCGGAGGGACTGCAGATGTGAGGGGCGGATGCTTGGGTGTAACAATTTGCTTGCATTGATTGCATTGATGATGGATTGGATGATGAACTGTGCATTACTGAACTGATACCTATGCTGTACATAGATGATACCTTTGAAACTGCAATTCATAGTAACTGATACCATACACATCCCACTACTACCATACTTTGACTTCCCCAACACTCACACCATCTCACCTCTCCCACCCCCCAAACCCACTCAACTAATTTGATCAATTCCTCTTCTTCTTACTCCCCCCCTCCTGACCCTCACTCTTCTCACTTCCCCCCTTCTTCGAAGAAGTACTAAAACTCTCCACCTCCTGCGCCTCCTTCCTCTCCGCATACCACTGCCCCGCCTGCAACACCAACACACCAACCAACACCAGCGCAAGGATGGTATTACTCGCCGCCAACACCTTCAAACTATCCTCCCTACCCAGAATCTGCCCCTGCTCAACCCCTTCATCCCCTTCCCCACCTCCATTCGCAGCACCTTTGACCACCAACTCATCCCCATAAACCCCGCCACTAACCAACCTCAACCCCTTGACAATATTCGCAATGTAGACCGTAATCCCACACATATACAGCACGAGACTGGCGCCATCGAACAACATATTCGATTCGGACGGTTTGTACAGTTTCATGATCAGACCGAGCAAGCCCAGGAAGATCACGATGTGCAGGATCCGCGGGATGAGCGGCGGCGAGGCGTGCAGGAATCGCAGGTGCGATTCGAAGTAGTCGAAGTGCGTTGCGGGCGTGGGTGTCGTCGACCAGAGGATGGGGTAGTCGTAGGGGAAGAGGGAGAAGATGAGGCCCAGGAAGAAGGATGTTGCTGTTTATTATTATTTCATTTTGTTAGTGGGGTTGTTATTGTTGGTAGGTTGGAGGGTGAGTGAGATTGGGGGGGGGGAATGTTTGGGGGGGGAGAGAGAGGCTATTGGGGGTGGTGGTGGTGGCGTACGGCAGACGATTAGGAAGGTCGCAAAGGACCCGTTGCGGAAGGCCATGGTGAAGGCCGACGGGGTAGTATTCCCGTTGGTTTATGGATGGGTGGATGTGGATGAGGTTGGATTGTTGAGGAAGAGGAGGAGGAAGAGAGGAAGAGAAGATGGATTGAGATATCGGAGGTTAGAGCGGGCTTGGCGCGACCGGGTTGGTACCAGTTCCAGTTCAGCCTAATCGCCTCTAATCTACTTATCTACTTAGTTAACTGCTTATTTGTTATCTACCCATTACCAATCCGCCATTATAATAGTACTATACTAGTACTGCACTATGCATGCAACTCTATTATATACGCCCTCAATGCCGCAGGCTGCTCATAACTAATCCCAAAAAAATTCAAACATTGCAACGTAGATGGTATCTCCCGGTATCCCGCAATGCAAGCAATAGAACTCATCCTGACAAACGCCTTTTTATTCTTACCGCTGATATCGCGGTAATGCCTCATCGCCGCGCGCCGCGCTGCCCACCAGCTGATGGTCGCCTTCGTCATCGTGAAACACCGGCGCCGTCGGCGCATCCGTCGACCTGCCAGGCGCCTCCATAACTTCCACATCGTCGGGCGCACTGACTTCTGTCATCAACCGCTGTCGCTCAAGCTCCTGCTTGTCCTCTCCAGGCGGTTCGGATCCACTGGCGCCCGCCGCGGTGCTTCCAGGCACGACGGTCTGCACCGACTCCGCAGAGATCACCGCCCGCGGGGTCCCATTCTCCGTCGGTGACGGCAGGTGGTGGTAGTCGTTAAGATGGTCGTCCTCCGGCAGCACTGGCGCCGTCGGAATCGCCATCTCAGATGGCCCAACCCCGGCATCGTCAGGTGGGCGACTCGGCAGGAGCATCTGCTCAGCCCGCCGGAGCCGGCTTTTTTCATCGCTCGGCTCGTCGGCCGGCGGCGTCGACACCATCTCCCCAGGGTGATATGCCTGTGGCTCGCCTGGGTACTCCTGACCTGCGTATTCAGGCCAGTGGGATGGTTCCCGCGGGAAGCCGTAGTCTTCTTGCGCCACATATTCACCTTCGGCGTTGGGGGTCGGGGACTGGTCGGTATTCCATGTCTCGCCGTCCGGGCCAGCGGGCTGCTGATTGGGATCCACTGGAGCGGACGTGGAAGGCGTGCGCTCTGCTGCCTTCACGCCGCGCTGCGAGTCACGCGTCCCAATGACCACTTCGAACATCACCGCCACCACGCCCTTTTCACGTCGAATCTGATCGGTGTCCAGGATGTTACCCGCCCAATTCGCCGTGATCACGCTGTTGTTGACATCTGCCGGGTTCAACACCTGCCCGCTGGAGGAGAAGTTGCCGCCCGAGGAGACCATGTTGAACCGGGGCAGAAACCGGTCGGGCGAGGTGAGCTTGCCCCGCAAGTCGACCACCACCTCCACATAGTACCGGAAGTTGATCATGCTCCCCGGCGTGCGCGTGATGGTCGGAAACGTATCCTCGGGTACCCGGATTGAGGTCTTCACCAGCGCGGTGAGGTTTGTGGGGTCCACCACCAGCGGTGCAAATGTCTGCGCTAGATCCTTGCGGAACACCCCGGTGGTGCGGCTGCTGCCAAGTGTCAGGCCGCCCAAGCCGGTCCGCGAGCGCGGATAGTAGTCTTCGTAAATGGGCTTCTTGCCATCCGCGGGTTTCCCCATCGGGATCGCCGGTTGGAGATCAATCCGCCCCTGGCGATACAGTGTCACGATGATCCCATGCGCGCTGCGCACCTGCTTGCAGTGGTTGATGGTGACATTAATCGGCAAGGTATCCCCCGGCAACACGCCTGCGCGCAGCACTTCTGCCTTGGCCATAATGGTTCGATCCGTCGTGGAGGGGGTGATGCTCCGGGCTTCGCTGTTCCGCATTCCAGTACTCGTCGATGAGCTCGGGTCGCTGGGAACCTGGAAGCTCAAACTGCTATTGCTCCGCCGACTCGATGAGCTGACATTGCTGGGCGCCGGGCTCAGAGGGGGGCGGTTGTCAATACTGTTGCCGCCGTGGGCTGACGGATCGATGGAGAGTGTATCAGGCGCGTCAGATCCGGCTGACTTGGCCTTTGCCTTCGACTTGGACCGTCGGGTGATCGGCTCGAGGGTGACGACGCGCGGCTTAGGTGGGGGAAAGGGCGCGATGTCAATGTTTTCTAGGACGTTGACGCGTCTCCGGCACGTCGAGGTCGGGTTGATCGTCGTCGGTTTGGTCAGGGTGGATGTAAGCATATATGATATCGTGCCTCGTTCGAACTAGATGCGACTGCGATCAGTATAACCCAATAAGATCCATACAGAAGGGGATCCACGCACATTGATGCTACTGGGTAGCGCATACGGGGGAAAGCACATCTCAAAGCGAAACTTGTAGATCCCTTCTTTAAGCCGACCTTCCCCGCAAAGTACGACCTCGTCTTCGAACAGTGTAGACAGGCCATTTCCCAGATATTCGGCACCGCGACGCCCGCGCCCCGGCCCCAAAAAGCCCAAATCCGGGGCTTGTTCACCCGGGGGCACGGTATTCTTGAAGACCTTGACAAAGCCATGGAGACAGACCACCAGATGTGTAATGCGAACGGGCCGTACCACTGTAAGGACCACGGTCCCACTGATCACATCCCCGGGAAAGTATGAGCGCCAAGGATCGTCCGGTTCGATGTAGAAGTCGGTGATGCTGCGATTTCGTTGACCGAGTTGCGAGCGAAATTTGGAGAGGAGGGAGCTGCGATTCCGACCGAGCGGCGAGGGGGGTTGTGAGGGGAGAGGGTTGACGGACATGACACACGACCCAATCCATGCACGAGGAGGGAGGGAAGGAAGGAGAAATGGCGACCGAAAGTAAGGAAGTCGGAATCAGGCGGACAACGAGCTGCTAACGGCGGAATTCAGGGGAGGGGGCGGGTGGACGATGGGGGGTGGAGGACTGAAGGAGGGGAAGAATGAGGCTGGCAGGACCGGGGCTCAGCAGCGTCACTACGGTCAGTCAAGTGACGAGACGGCGACGAGGAGGTGGTGGTCGATGCGGACGCAAGGGGGAGCGAGTCGATGAGGAGCAAGAGTACACTGTCCAGATCTCGAGAGTAAAGGAAGACAAGAACGCGATCGAGACAGCTGGGAAATTCTCCGTCCAGACACCATCGATCAATCTACCGATAAACCGGCCCGATGTGTCCGTCGGGCGCGAAGGCAGCAGCAACAGCAGTAGCAGCAGGGTCAGTCTCTCGACCGGTCCAGGATCAGTTCCAACCCCAGCCGCAGCACAGACAGCACTAGAATAGCCAAGCGCGCGTCTTTAGTGGGATGAATGGGTCCCCTTGTTTTGCTGGTCGCTGACGATGCGGGGAGTTTGGTCGGGGAAGATCGTGTCTCAAATCTCGGAGTTTGGGGGAGGGGGGGAAAAGAAAACGAAGAAAGGAAAGGAAAAGAGAGAGACGAAGGGGAAGATGACAAGTAGGGAGAGGTATCAACAGTAATGGTGACAGGCCCGCATCATTTCTCGGCTGGAATTTCCCACGATCACGGCCAAAGGGTTGACAGAATAGCCCCTATAACCGGGATATGCTGGAGGGGAGGGGATGGGGTGGATGATGGAAGGGAAAAGGAATGGATAGTCCCGGGAATTAGTGTGGAGGGAGTCAATCACGGGGGAGGAGGGTTGGTTAGAGGATGACAAAAGAGCAGTCGGAATGAACAGGACACGCAGGAAGTAGTCGCGAATGGTAGTAGAGAAGAAAAGAGGAAAAGAAAGGAATGGATCCGTATGGAGAAAGGGGAGGGAGAGAGAAAGAGGAAGGGTCAGCAGTAGGGCGGCGTAGTAGGTGTCAAGCAGAGAGAGGGAGTGATGGATGGAGAAAGAAGAAGATGATGGAGGGATGGAGATAAGCAGCCCGGCTTGTGGTCGAGGTCAAGCTTCTCTTGGGCCGTTCGTGGCTGGGCGGTTTCCACTCGGAGCAAATCGACTTTCCACTGATTCTATTTTCTGTACGAATTGGCTTTTGGTTTGCCTGCCGTGAGCTGAAACTATGCTTGTAGGGCATGGTGATGGTAATTATTATTAATATTAGTCTTTTAGTTATTAGTATGATTCTCCCCCCATTTTCCTTTCCCTGACTAGTCACATTGACTACCACTCGTGGCTCATTAACTCGAAATAAAACTGACTAACTAATTAGTCCCCTCAAATGGACCAAGTTAACCACAAAGTACTACTAGTTTAAACTAGTGGTGAGCAGCCGCTGACAAACTTCCCGACGGATGGATTGATGGATTCCATGACGGCCCATCCTAATAACAACCACCACCACCACTATTTATTCCTAAGCATCAACCACATCCAATCCATCCATTAGTGATCAGAACCGGATTACTTCATCTCCATCTCTAGCTCACGCAATCCTTCCCCCTCCACGTATTCTTCCTTATAACATTCCCGCTGCACCATCCGCAACACCTCCCGATCCCCTCCGGTCACCTTATCCACATACCCTTCCAAGATGTAGATGTTATCCGTCCACTGATGTGCCAGTCGCCGATACTCCTCCGTCTCCTCTTTAATCTGCGGTAAGCTTTTCCCCTCCGAACTCGTCGCCAACGCCATCCACTCCCCCTGCAGTTGATGTGTCTCCCGCTCGAGCACAGCCTTCTGCTCCATCAATCTCCGGCGCTCTTCCTCACCATTCCCATTCCCATTCCCATCCCCATGCGCCTCTTCGGCCTCTTCCTGCACTCTCGCCTGCTTCCGCGCAGACAATCTAGCCTCCGCATCTTCCCAATTCCCTCGGACCCGATCCACCTCCCTCCGTAACCTCCGGATCCGCTCCTCGCGCTCTTTCTTCTCCTCTCCCCCAAAACACCAATACCAATTCCCACTACCGATCTTCTCGACCCGGATCCGTCTCTCATCCGCCAATTCCTGAACGTACTCCTTCACCTGTATCCCGTTTATTGAGGCCACCGACGGGATCATCTTCTCCAGATCCTTCAGGGTGTGGCACGTCCCCGTGGCCCGCAGATGTGAGACGATCAGGGCTTGTTTGGCACTCCTGGAAAGTTTAGGCGGCTAGCTCGACACAATAGTTATTTTCTGTTTTTTTTTTTCCCCGTCTTATTTTCTTTCTTGTTTCGTAAAGAAAACAAGACAGAGAGACAGACAGACAGACACCCTTGGACTAACGCACCCACTAAGGCACATAGTAGTAGTGCTTTGCTTCCTTAGTGGCCTTGATGGGGTGCCCAATCACTCGCCCCATTGGTTGCGGGGAAAAAGACGAAGGCGTCGACGTACCATGGTCAGGCAGGTAGCCTTTGGCTACTTGCTGTGTGTCTTGGACTTTTGCTTATGTTTGGACCCTGTGGAGAGGGGAGGGGGAAGGTGTTTCCTGTTTGAGGTTGCTGACAGGCATAAACGAGATTAGTTAGTGGGGTCGGAGGTGTCCTGCTGGTGAGATACTTACAGTAAGATGGATGGAGTTGAGTGATGAGGATGGACCGGTGAGTGTGTGTCTACTTCTCTACTACTAGTTCTGGACACCCCAAACAGTAAAAGTTCCCCCCGGTCATGTGGCATCACGGGGTCGACTTCAACTATAATGGTCTCGGTATTGTTTGTTCTCCCCGTAGGGCTGCTGAGTAGTCATTACTACTGGCAATCACGTTCATGTCCTGCAGTTACAGGGGAGCATCCCCTGTGATAATAACTAGACGCCTTCTATATTTTTTTATTTCTGTCTCCTCCCGCCTCTGTTAAATCTTTTGCCCTTACTGCATACAAACCCCGCTCCTCTCATCCTTGCAAGGCAGGCACTGGGTCGATGCGCGACATCATCGCCGGAATTCGTCCTCTTCTGTCTGTCCTTGTAGGGAGAGATACGTAGGTCTGCTGACACTGTCCCCCGATCCCTTGTCAAGCAATCGGAATGGCGATCTCTATCTAACGGGCTGTGTGTGACACAAGGTATAGATAACACGCCAGAATTGATACCTCGCTACTGTTGTGTCATCACCACAGTTTGAACAAGGAAGAAGGCAACAGACGACCGTCCTATCATCGAAATATCCTCACCATACCGACGCGGCACATCAAACAAAGCGTCCCATACGATAAAGCCTAACCGGGGCTACAGACTTCACCCGGGCAAACAAACCATCTGCACACGTTAGACCTCAGACCCTTGTCCCATATTTTTAAACAAAAATCCCCCCATTCGCTCAACCTACCAACCTCCTACTTTCCCGACTCATAACGCACAGATCACGCAATTCTCTCACTACTGTTTATTATATAGCACCCAGTAAGTAGGGCATCCATCCAGCCGATGCAGATCTTTTCCAAGCACCACGCACGGATCAGGTAATTTTCGTGTGTGTTCCATACAAGCGTGCAGCTCACGGACATAAGCAAAAGCTTGTGTCAGCCGATGCCCATCCTGCCCTTACCACTGCTGGGAAATTATCGACCAAAACACACGTCAGCTGAGTGAGAATCCTAAGTTGTAGTGAAGACGGCTGAAGGGGAAGCAAAAAGGGTCTGAGACACTCTGAGGCAAGATAAGGTTTTCTTTTTGACGGCCAGTCTATATCGCAGTGAGCTTTTGCTTATGAAACACGGCTATGGGCGGCGGTCAGAGGGGCGAGAGGATTACTCCCACCCCCTCCACTCCCTCCCTCCCTTTTGTCCGTGAGTAAGTTGGTGCTGCTACTGGGGTCTCGCCGATGCCGGCTTTCTCCGGCGTCTGCTTTGGTTCACCTGCCGGGGCTGTCTTTGTACTGCGGTCTACGGGTTAGGATATACCGAGGGGAGCTACTATAAGCGGTTAAGGTATATTTTTGCATAAGCTGACGGACGGACATAGAATGCTTAGCTTACCTTGCTGATGTAGGGGAGCCTGTTGCTGAGGTGCGGTTGGGTGCCTAGGCAATCGTTAGTTATGCGATAGTTCAGTCAGGAGCTGCACAGCAGAACGCAGAGTTCGGAGACTGATCCGCATTTCTGCAGCCCTCTTGAGCTGGTTGTTTGATAGTCTCACCTGGTCGGACTGCGAACGGGGTCATACGTGGATTCCGGCAGTGGTGACCTTGATTGTAGAGGCTTGGTGCGGGAATGGCGGCTTGTTGCCGGAAATGACATGATGACATGTCATCAGACTGGCGGTTTGCCCACGCCAGAGCTACTTTCTCGTATGCAGTATGAAACATATTTAGGTTACAGGTAAGGAATTTCGTGGATGCTATTAAGGTATTGTGGAGGAATTTGGATAGAAACAGGATATTCTGATACAACGTGCATTCCGCAAACTTTGTTCAAACGGTCAAGGAATGCTTGGGTGAAGAAGTGTGAGCAGCAATTGACCCTGGGGTGCATGAAGATGGACGGGCCAGTCCAATCAAGGTTCAACGGCATTCCAGCAGATGCACCAGCCAAGATCTTGGCGGCGCCGGGTCGACGATGATCGCGGGCTAAGATTTGCGATGTGCAACATGCATAGGGATCTGGCTCCTGAGGTTGACCGGGGCTGGCCGAGGTGACTGATCGTATAGGAAGCAAAGACATGATGCTTCTTATTGCTGCCTCATTCAGACAGTCGAAAGTAAGGGCCTGGCTAGAGCCGAGACAGGCTTGCAGTACCCACGAGCCAAATGCGTCTTAATCTAGTGGCTTGCTGAAAGATGAGATCTCTGATCCCTTACAGTTGCGCATCCAGCCAAGCAATGTTGATATCAATCCTCGCGTATCGTATTGTCCTCAATTTCTGGTTCTGGCGCCCTAATGATGAGCGGTCACCATAGGAGTCCGCGACTGGAACGGAGCCCGAATGGATGATGCAACAGTAGTTGTGGAAGGTAGACCACGCCACAGGTACAATAACTGCTGAGTAGCTTGCTAGACCTCACCACCGCTCATCATCTTCGATATCCAGCTCGGTTGCGGAGGTCATTTTACGACCCAACTTGCGCTTCTTTGGCCGCCTCTTATTCACCACCACGCTCTCTAACTCGTCACCCGAGCTCGCCATCGTACTACTCTGACCGGTATTTGCTCTTTTGCGGCGCATATTTCGGCTGAGCTGAGGGGCTAGTGGTATTTCGTCGGTCGGGATTTCCTCTCCCTCGACGAGCACCATGTCTCCGGTTTCACCCAAAGATTCCTTGGCCATTTCCTCCATCAAAATCCCCATAGCTAACAACGCTGTCTCGTCCATGCTCTGGTAATCATCCCGTCCTCCGTCGATCGTCGCATGGTCATAGTAGTCGGCCGAATATGCGTGAATGGCCTCGAGTAGCTCGGAGCTGGGTAGGGGGCAGCTGGGTGGGAGGGCCTCATGAGCAAAGTAGAAATCGTTTTCTTCGTAGCGCTGCGGGGCATTTTGTCGACGGAAAAGAACTTCCTCCGGACGGACTGGACGAGTGCTGGACGATGCGGTATCGCGGTATTTGGAAGAGAATGGGACCGATGGCAGAAAGCCATGATGATTCACCCGACCTGAACGCAGTCAGTCTGCTGAAGTGGGAGACAAGCCATGTGAAGACGAACCGGCAACGGCATCATAGACAGTCGCTTGTCGCTTCTGTCGCCTGGAGCCGAACTCATCTTGTTCCTGGACTTCGACGACATCGGGAGTGGGAGGTCGGACGAAGGAATTCTGGCTCAATGCAAGGGATTTGCCGTAGGACATAGTCCCGGATTAGCTAGAGCCGCCCGTGCGAGAGCATCAGGAAGCTTGTTCCCAGGAAGGACCGGACGGCTGGAAGAGACTCTGCCGGTGGGCAAAGTTGATACTTCCGATTGCTTTTGCGACGCCCGGAAGATTTTCCCCTTCGTGATTGGCATTCCGGCATAACCTTTCTCCGGCAGGTGTTGCGGTCATGTGAGAGCGAGTCATCCCATCTACTCATCACACCAACTTATCTGCCTTGTCCAGATATATCTTCACGGAGCTCGAAGAAGAGCTCTGTTGGCCTAATGAATGAATGCGTATCTTCTCAATAGGGTTCTGGGGTCCATAAGTCCCTCGACCTTTCATGTCGCACAAACCACGCGACTTGTTCAACAGCTCGAGCCGGCGCCTGGCATTCGCTTCTCGGCACGTAGAGACATTCTTTTAGAAGGAAGTCAAGAGGATGCAGGCTTGATTTTTGATGATGAGGTATTTGCTCACAAAGCGGGAGTGAATGTGCTCGCCATCGATCACTATGACGGCCGATTGTATGTTACACTCATCCTGTGCCTAGCTCCAATTAACGGTAGACAGCATGGTCTCTGGGGGTGCAGACCCTTCAATTCGTCTGTGGGATTTGGAGTCACGAGGCTCAGAATTGAAACATGTGCACCAGTCCGTGGCATCTGTAAACAGAGCCTCGCACGAAGATGCCCACACTCGTGCCATTACTTCCATCTCCATATACCCATTTGATCCCACACCGTCTACTATCTTGACAACCTCGTACGATGGCACGCTCAAGCTTTCGGCTTTAGCGCCCGCAGCTATTACACCTGTGCACACATTCAATCTAGACTGCACACCGTACACCCATTCGCTGTCGTCCAATTCTGCGTCTCCTTTGCTCATTGCAGTAGGTACCTCGGAGAAGCCGGTCCGACTACTTGACCTACGTTCAGGTCTGTCGACACATGGTCTCCCTGGACATGAATCTTCAGTCCTGTCTGTATCATGGGCTCCTCATCAGCCACACATCCTGGCTTCTGCGTCGGCAGATAATAGAGTAATCCTCTTCGACATCCGCCGGGGAGGCCACAATTCAGCGATCGCAGCACTAGACATGGATGATGCTGTTGGACTCGTGCGCCCGGGATCCACCCCAGCATCCTACCAGAGCCGCCCCGCATTCTCGCCGCACGCTCGAGCCCATAATGGCGCCGTGACCGGTGTCCGGTGGACGTCTACCGGTAGTCACCTGGTGACCGCTGGCCAGGACTCTCGGATTCGCGTCTGGGATGCTGGGACAGGTGCAAACACGCTTGTACACTTTGGTCAGCGTGTCCGGAACAGTGTGAGTTCACACCTGGCTGAACGGGCACCGCTTGTCATACCTCGCGGAGTGGTCACCCCTGGGCAAGAAACGCTCTTATGGCCAAACTTCAATGAGAGAGATGATCGTGGGGAGATCTTCATGTTTGAACTTCGAGAGGGGGCTTTTGTCAAGCTTCTTCGCGTACCGGGTCTTGTGACCGGTCGTCAGCAGTTTCAGGGCCGCTCCAGTGCCCTCAGCGCTGCGAGGATCAACGCCCTTGCTTGGCGCGGCAACGGTGCCTCAGGAGAAGGGATTGAGATGTTTTCGGCTCATGGCGACGGAACCATTCGCACCTGGGCCTCACGGGAACCCGAGGGTGAGCCTGACGATGAAGCCGAAGAGGCCGAACGAGCAGACCGCAAACGCAAGCGGGATGTTCTCGACGAGATTTACCGAGGATTTATAGGCTAAGTATACGATGAAGAACTCCACAACAGGACCAAACATAGCATGAAATAAAAATATCGTTTCGTTCATCTATAATACATCATGTTCATGTCAAGCATATCCCAGATATGCATATCTTTATTCATTTCTGATCTGATGCTCGCCAATAGCATCTTCGTCCTCCCCAGAGAACCGCTCATAAGCACTGCGGTTTAGATTGGAGTGTTTCAGGTTTCTGGACTCGCCCTTGGCACCAGGGTGGTTGGTACCGATCAAGTTCCTCTTGGACTCGCCTTCAGCTGGGAAACTATCACCGGTTCCAGTGATGACTTCGCCTGAGGGACCCATGTCTCTTGTGCTGCGAGGCATGTCGGTGGAGTTGTCGGCGGCAAAGGCGGAGGTCGGGTGAGCGATACCGTAGTTATCGAACTGAGAATCTTCGGAGCGCTGATCAGGGCGAGGAACGGAGGGGATTGTGTTCATGATGCCTGCATCATTGGGAATGCGAGTGCCCTCGGGAGCCATGTCCTCGAGACGTCCGCCGCGGTGAGGGTCAGAAGACATATTGAGTGGTATGGTGGTATTTGAGCTTCGTGAAGTTTGAGTTTTTTAGGGTGAAATTGAGTGAAATTGATTATTGTTAAATTGATTGGATTTGTTCTGGATTGGCGAGAGACCATCAGGCCAAGTTAGTTTATATAGCTGATGAGTCGGGCTGGACTGACATCTGATGTCACTGTCCAGGCGCGGATTGAGTCTGGGCCATGATGAGGCTATGATATCAGCAGGGTCCCAACATGCATCCGAGCGCAGGGAACCAGTGAATCGATGATGAAACATGCAAGGATCTATGGAATACTCCAACCCAAATCTAGCCGAAGGTTCCATCGACTCCGGTCATACAATTTGGAGACGAAGGCAAATCACGTCAGTCCCTAAGGTACCCGCTATACGTTGCCATACTATCACCACCCGCCCTTTCAGCACCACCACATCATGGTTTGCAACATTACTGGCCATCTGACAGGTACGCCATTCATAGATGGTCTTATTTCTTTTCCAATATCTGATTTGCCCCTTCAGCATCTTCAGCACTTTATTCTGGATAACGTCATCGCCATGGCTATACCTGACTCAGCATTTGGGACCCTTCCCGGCCTATCAGAAGGCATCCTCAGGAACAATGGCTTTAAGCTTCACTTCAACAACCACCATCCGTGAAATGATACTTTATAGAGGCCTTATCAGTGTCTGCCTCGGTGTTCATAATATTATTTTCCAATTTAGCGATGCATAGTATCAGTTTCTTTCGGTCGCAAACTCCCCCAGTCAACCCATCAATGCGTCATCCACGACCGGTTCTTGGTCTCCATACCAGTGTCGTGCAGCGAGGCAAAGAAATTACATACATACACAGGGCTATAAGATGAGGAGATGGGAGCTCAACATTTGGCACACACTGCCAATCCCGTCAGTCGCAGCCGCGTCCCTATCACAAATACACTGCCCGCAAGCAGGAGTACGCCGGAGTAGACCTTCATTCCCCAGTAAGACCCTCCGTCATAGGCTAATATTGCTCCTCCAATGGACCCTGTTACAAGTCCCGCAATTGATGCAAAGAAAAAGTTCAGCCCAACCCAGTATCCAATTTCTCGAGGCGGGGCTACGGGTGCCACCAAAGCCACGAAAATAGTATAGTAGGCCCCCGACGTGACTCCAAACAGTACATCAAAACTGATGATTGCTGAGTTGTTGGTACCTGGGATCCAAAGCGCCAACACCAGGATACCAGAGCAGACAGTACTTGAGATAAAACTGTTGTATACGCCGATCTTGTCCGCGAAAAAGCCAGAAAAGAATCGTCCAAAGAGACTACGACGTACATCAGTATATGCATGGTATTAGAAGAAGTGGGGTCAGAAACACACCTTCCAGCATTCTGAATAGATACGAGGTACTGCAACAGATTGTTCTGCATTCCCACAGCCAATGACGATGTGACGATATAGTTACTTGGGACCCATATACCAAAGCTCAGCAAAGTGCCGCCGGCAAGAAGCAAGACCATATTCACATCTCGGAAAGGGTGCAGGAGGTTCTCTCGATTCAAAACCTCTGGGCATGGAGGCACGCGCTCCCTTACAGTGAGACCAGCGATGATAAGAAAAAATAACATCATGAATGCGACGATCCGCATGGCCCAACCGAAGCCGACTTTGGGAATGAGTCGGTTAACCATGATTGGCAATATGATGCCCGCGATCCCTGACGAAGACGAGATGATTCCGTACGCCAATCCGCGCCGCTTGTTGAACCAATTAGGAATGACACTCAAGACTGGCTGTGCTATGGCACAAAGACCTATTGGACTACAGATACCCTGTGCGAGGAGAATCTGATAGTACTTTGTCGATATGGAAGCCATCATAACCCCAAAAATATGAAAGAATGAGCCTCCGATGACGACTGCGCGCGGTCCAAAAGTATCACTCAGCCGGCCGACAATAGGACCCTGTATATCTCTCACACCATCAGTATGCAGAACATGAGATCCGATGAGCAGGCTGTCTTCTTACTAAGGCAAGCATGAAGAAGACTTCAAAGGATGGTATCCACGCGATCGTACTCGCAGGATAGCCTGGAAACATGACATTCTGATAGTAGTTCTGGAACACGCCAATACCTATTGTGAAATTCTAAGTATCAGTGAACCCGAATGTCCTAGCTTTCTAAACCATTTCATACAGCAACTTACTGTGAAGCCATCCATAACTGGAAAACATCGCACACCACCCACCCACCACGATCAGCCACGCTGCTATACCACCATCGGGGACTGAGTCATCTTGGTCGTCTCGGTCGTCAGCTTGTGAGTCTGGAGTCGTCCGTCTAGATGGTGGAGAGGCAGACAGACACTCTTTAAACCTGCTGTGTCCAGGTTCTATCGTACGTGTATCAAGAGCACCTTGTGCTGGGCTTCTTACTACCGATATGGACATATTGAACGACCCTCTTCGTCGTAGCAAGGTGATGTGTTAGATGATGGAACTTTCTAGCCATACGCGAACTACATATCTCACAAGACTTTGCGGAGGCCCTACAGCACACTCAGATCAGATCATTCGCTGGCATGACCTTGAGACAATTGGAAAGATTATTCTCCGACCGGCATAGTTGATTCCCTTAAGCACATATCATTGTGCCGTTGGACAATCAAAGCTTATGCACAATGAAGATCGGTTACATTGAGGGCTAGTACAGCAATCAATGACTTTCGTCAATATAACGTCCAAAATCACTCGTGCTGAATTATCGGCTCTGAAATAGTTCAATGTATAACACCTGAAGTCAGATAAATCACAAATATAAAGATAGACAATTGGTCTCGAAAGAAGTATGTATTCGGCCACACCGATTACGGTGTACCTTTGCTGGCACCCAATCCGCAGTCCAAACTCAACAAACTCAACATTAGCTCCGACGCATGCACGCTGGAGTTTGTGAGCCCAGATCTATCATTTATGCGGTGATATCGCTAAGCAATATGGAATGATCCAGGTAGTGATAAATGAATACTGTGGCTGGCTGGAAGAAACGGTCCTCACAAGTCATTTCGTTCGATTCAGCAAGCTCTAAATGGCCAACCATCTAATGACTTACTACCGAATGAACTTCTGCTTTGCTTTTGTGAGGTATCTCTACATACCTCCTCTAATCATCATTTCTCATTCACAGATCGTAGAAGGATATAGAGCAGTTATATTCAATATTAGATTGGGTTATTAACACGCAGAAATCTGGCAAGATGCTAGTACATAAGCTAAAAGGGAGAGAGAGAGAGAGAGAGAGAGAGAGAGAGAGTGTGTGTGTGTGTGTGTGTGCGCTACGAATCCAGCTTCATTAAAACCGACTTTGACGTTCGTAGCAGAATTACTGCTGCTGCACACCGCCAGTTTGAAAATGCCACATGGCTAGCTCTGCGATGTGCATATACGTACGTATATGCGGTGAAAATACTATGTAAGGGGGCTAGACGGCTTGCTACCTAATAGATTTAAAGCCGCTGAATGTTGCGTACTAGACCAAGCTACGTGGACGACTAGAAGTAAAAGGACATCAAGCAGGGTTGGATTAGATTCGAAAGAGAAAGGTAACAGATACATGCAAATCAATTAATGCTGAAAGCGAGTGACACGGATTATGAACGAAGGGCATCCGAAATAGATGATTAGGCAAAAGAATGACATGAAATGTATGGGACATTCTCGGGAATAATAGATCCATGGATAATTTGCTTGCTGCACGGCTTTTACAAAATCAGTGCCAGAAGGGCGACCAGGCCTGTGACGATAGGGAAGAAGCCATGCGCCGGAGCCACCTGTGCGCCTGCGCCAGTGAACATGATGCTGTTTGTCGAGGGAGCAGGCGTGGAGGACGGTCCCGGCAGGTCGTAGCGGAAAGATGGCTCGGAAGCGACAGAGCCACTCGGCTTGGGTGTGGGCACCCCGAGGCTGCTGGCGGCTGCGGCTCCACGGAAGGCTTCAGTGGGTGCAGGAACGTAGACAGGGATCATGTGGAAGGTCGAGGCCTCTTGGATGGTGATGGTCGAGGCGATGCTGTCCAGGTTGCCGGGGAAGGGGGCAGTAGGGGCAGGGTCCATGGCGACGTTGGAGCTCATGGCCACGGGCTGTTGTGCTGCAGAGGATGCCGCGACGTCAGGCACATGCTCTGGTTCCGAGGGGTCAGAGTTGTACAGGGCTGATACACCAGTTGGGTCGGCGATGGAAGCAGCGCCATTGTACATGGGGTTGGACGGGGCGGCAGCTGGCGTGGACTCGGCAGGTGCGTTGTATATGGGAACGGAGTCGATGCTGGGCCCGGTTGGCTGGGCTGGGGCATTGTAGAAGGGTGTGGACCCTGCGGCTCCTGCGGCGACTTCTGGTGCATTGTAGGCGGGTGTGGATTGAGCGACAGCATCAACGGCCCCTGTGAAAGGCTCGTTGAAGACGGGTGCCCCATGTCCTCCGTGCTCAGGGAGTCCAGTGTTCCGACTCGGACCACCGCTCAATGTGCGGGTAACCGTGTGGACAATCTCGTGGACGACTGGTGAGGCGCAGCTTGAGCTTGAGTCAACGTCCTTGGCCGCATCATCTTCGCCGGAGTGAGCAATGGGGTCGACTCCCACATCATGTGGTTTGCTGGAGTCGTGCGAGTCATGCGAGTCGTGGGGTTCAGTTGGCTCGTGATGAGCATCCACGTCAGTGTCCTTCACGTTGGCGGAGACAGAGTGGTCATCACTGTAAGCTTCATTGGTAGCCTGTCCGTATACATTGGTGACTGGGAGGATGGCGGAGTTCCCAGTGTCGATTCCAGATTCACCCTGAATGAGACTGTCGTCTGCGCGGTGATGGTGCCGGTGCGGCTCATCCACATGGGTTTTCTTGGAGTCCACATCAACGGAGTGATCATCCTTATCAGCTTCATTATATTCAGACGAGAAGACATTCGTAATCGGAATGGTCGCAGAGTTTCCTGTATCAATTCCTGACTCGCCCTTGATCAGGTCTCGGGGTAGATGTGGGTGTCCGTGGAAGTGTCCGTGCTCGGGACGATCAATTGCTGTATCTTTGATATCTGCATCCACGGAGTGGTTATCCTCGTGGGATTCATTCACCTGGGATGAGAACCCGTTGGTGATGGGAAGGCTAGCAGAGTTGCCAGTATCAATTCCTGATTCTCCCTTGATCAGATCACGAGCATGGTGGTGGTCAGGGCGGCCATGGTGGACCGGCACCCCCTTCACAGCCGTGTCCTTTATGTCGGCATCCACAGAGTGGTCATCCTTGCTAGCTTCATTGTACTCAGAACTAAATGCATTAGTGATTGGAATTGTAGCAGAGTTTCCGGTGTCAATGCCAGATTCTCCCTTGATCAAATCGCGTGGGTGATGAGGGTGGGGATGTCCATGGACAGGTACCGGCACAGGCACTGGCTTTGGGTCTGGCTTCTCCTTCACCACGGTGTTCTTCGTATCTGTGTTCACCGAGTGGTCATCCTTACTAGCTTCGTTATACTGGGAACCAAACGCATTGGTAATGGGAAGAGTAGCCGAGTTACCAGTATCGATACCAGATTCTCCCTTGATCAGATCTCGTGGGTGATTGGGGTGGGGATGAGGCTTAGGATGGTGGGCCGGCACGGGGACGGGCACCGGCTTGGGCTCTGGCTTCGGCTTCTCGACAAGCGTGTCTTTCAGGTCAGCGTCCACCGAGTGGTCATCCTTACTGGCCTCATTCTCCTGGGATGTGTAAACATTGGTAATGGGAAGACTAGCCGAGTTGCCAGTGTCAATCCCTGACTCGCCCTTGATCAGATCCCGAGGCCAATGTCCGTGGGGGTGGTGCACGGGCACGGGCACTGGAACTGGCTTGGGCTCTGGCTTGTATTTTATCGCAGTGTCTTTCGAGTCCACATCAACGGAGTGATCGTCCTTACTAGCTTCATTTACCTGAGATCCGAAGCTGTTGGTGATTGGCAGACTAGCAGAGTTGCCCGTGTCAATACCGCTTTCACCCTTGATCAGATCACGGGGCCAATGAGGGTGGGGATGATGGTGCGATGGTGTCTTGACAAGAGTATCCTTATCCTTGACATCCGCGGAGTGATCATCCTCAGATACTTCATTGTCTTCGTTGGAATACACGTTTGTGAAGGGGAGGGAAGCCGAGTTACCGGTGTCAATACCTGACTCCCCCTTGATCAAATCACGTTCATGATGACGGTGAGGGCGGTGCTCAGGCCGTGTAACATCAGTGTCCTTGACGTCGACATCTGCCGAATGGTTGTCCTTGTATGACTCATTGTCTGTGGAGCTGAAGGCGTTGGTAATCGGAATAATTGCTTCATTCCCGGTGTCAATCCCGGACTCTCCGGAGATCAGGTCGCGAGGCCAATGGGGATGGCGGTGCGGGTGGGCCTGTTTGGTGACATCGGTGTCCTTGACATTGACATCCGCAGAGTGATCGTCGTCATAAGACTCATTGTCTGTAGAACTGAAAGCGTTTGTGATAGGGATAACTGCCTCATTGCCAGTATCAATCCCAGACTCGCCAGAGATAAGATCCCGTGGAACATGGGGGTGTGGGAATTTGCGGTGGTCGGGGTGCCCGTGGTGCGCGTCATCGAACACGCTCTTCTTCTTGTCAACGTCCACAGAATGGTCATCCTCACTAGCCTCGTTCTCCTGGGAGCTGCCCACATTGGTGATTGGCAAAGACGCACTATTCCCGGTATCAATTCCAGACTCCCCATTGATCAGAGTGGGTTCTTCACGTTCCCCGCGAACATGGTGGTGCGGCCGGTAGTGCTTTTCAGGATGTCCAGGCTCAACGACGGCCGTGTCGTCTTTGTTGAAATCAACGGCGTGGTTATCCTTGGTTGCTTCGTTATAGTTAGACGAGAATCCGTTCGTGATGGGCAGTGATGCAGAATTGCCGGTGTCGATGCCAGACTCCCCATTGATCAAGGTTGGTTCTTCACGTTCACCACGGGCGTGGTGGTGCGGCCAATGGTGCTTTCCCGGATGCTCAGGCTCGACGACAGCCGTGTCATCCTTATTAACATCCACTGCATGGTTGTCCTTGCTCGCTTCGTTATAGGAGGACGAGAATCCGTTCGTGATCGGCAGGGAAGCAGAATCTCCAGTATCAATGCCCGACTCCCCTTTGATCAGGTCGTCGCTGCCTCGCACCCAGTGGTGGTGCTCCGGGTGCTCCGGGTGCTTCGCGTGCTTCACGTGCTCTGGGTGCTCCTTGTCCACCACAGTCTTATCCTTGTTGATATCAGCAGAGTGATCATCTGAATGGGCTTCATTTACGGTGGAAGAGAATCCGTTCGTAATGGGCAGTGATGCAGAGTTGCCCGTGTCGATACCTGATTCCCCGCTGATCAGGTCCTTGTCGTCTCGCACCCAGTGGTGACCGTGAGGGTGGTGGTGCTTGTCCTCGTCGACAACCGTCTTGTCTTTGTTGATCTTAGACGAGTGGTCGTCGCTGTGCGCCTCATTAACAGTAGACGAGAAACCGTTCGTCACAGGCAACGATGCAGAGTTGCTTGTATCAATTCCACT